ATTAGCTACTTGTAAGTAGTGGTTATAAACATTATTTACAACCTAGTGCCTTAACCACTTTTTTGGTATTTTCGTCTGACTTATAAAACTGCGTAGGCGATCCTAGGTGACTTGAGTAAGTAATAAGGTCCTGTATAAGCAGAATAGTTTTAGAAATCACTTCTCTCGGCATCATTCTCGATGGTTAGAAACGGCATTTTAGGCATTGCCGCGCTTGTGTTTGCTTCAACGAAACATAAACTTAGCTTCTGATTCGTCGTCTATACTTAGCTAATGTCCTCAAGGATTGTTATCAATGCTCGCTGCCTGTCACGCCAGCCTGACCGTTTGTAGCCCCTGCGCCCTCCATCTTGAGACTGAGCGGCGGTGTGAGGCGCGACGGAGGCGTAACGTATGCATTGCCGAGGAGGGTCAAAGTCTCATTTGATCAAGTGGGGTCTGCATCCCACCTTATCCCACTCGGCGGCACATTTTTCTTCCTGCGTCTCGCAGTAATTCAATCCTTTCTCGCCCAGCTTGTTTGATCATGGTCCGTGTCTTTTGAATTGAGTTTTAATATTCTAGGCAGTGTGCCCGGCGGTTATGAGGAAGTAAACTTTGGAAGAATTGATCTTTCTGATTGGAGCGTGTTTTCCGGACACAAAACTCTATATCTTATTCGGAATAGGTTCTCTGCGCGATCGATACGTTCAATTGAGCTTTCTATCTTGGCCTATCAGGCATGCCTAAACGCCTCTTTGGGGTCTACCTGGCTGAGCGCCATTAGTTGCCATCGTGGTGTGTAGTAAGACTGGGTATCATTCATGCAAGGACCTGCCAGGTAGGTGCTGAGATCTCAGGTGAAGACTATAATGAGTGAATTTGATTGTTTTAGAGGTTCCTGAAAGTCTCGTTTCGCAGGTGCAACTGCTCCATTTACCGTTTTGAGACTGTCTTGTAGACCTAGAAAGCAAGGACGTTGCCGAGTTCTGGGTGGATGAAAAGCTTGCCCACCGAAGATTAGCAAAGCACTACTTGCGTGCCATACTTGGCGCCTGAGGGCAGCAACGACATAAACGATTTCCTGAACAAATATTTTCTTCATTGGCTGAAGCGCTGAGCCTGCTTGGCAGGATATCAAAGAGCATTGGATTCATAGATGGGCTACAGAGCATAGCCGATGTAAGTCGTTCGCCTTTCACGAGCTAGACATCTGCTGGCAGACATTCTCAGCCGGAAAAGGGTGACATCCAACGGTGGCCAGTTTCAAGGCTACAGTGGCTCCTTCATGATCGAAACGGAAATGGCCCCAAGACCCTCTGGGATGTGGTGCGACAATGCCGGAGTGGCACGGACTTTCGGCCGAAAACAGCCGAGCCTCATGCGCGAAGACAAATAGAAACATACGTCGGGGCCGAGGCCCATTACGGCCACAGAGAATACCACCAGCCACTAGCTCATTGGTGGGGTCCCGGTTCAAGTTTGGGGATTGACGTGCGTATCTGATGGCCTCACAGGCAATGATCCGAGTACCGTTCCTCGCTCCTCTATGTAACCTTCACGGACATATCGGCCGGTATGTGACTATTCACCGCCTGCAAAGGTCAAGGAAAGAGATAGAATTTACTAAACAGCTTGATATTCATTTAAACGGGATATGATACTCAAATTTTGTTCCTTTTGTCTTTTTTGAAAAATCGCGTAAACTTTCAGCGGATATTAGCAAAGATCATCATGCAAAGCACTCTCCCAGCATCATGGTACCGTGAGCCTGGCTTCTACCAGCTCGAACGGCGTGCCATTTTCAGTAAATCATGGATTCTGATATCCCACTCCTGCCAGTTCAACGAGACTGGGAAATACGTTCGCTATGAAATGGCCGGCTACCCATTTTTTGTTATTCGAGATCGAGCCGGTAATATTAATGCTTTCCTTAACATTTGTCGCCACAGGGCATTCCCCATTGTCCACAAAGACTCAGGACAAGCATCAGTATTGTCATGCAAGTACCATGGTAGCGTTAAGTTTTCTGTCTTATGGGTTCCCCCTGCTAAGTTGTGATAGGATGGTCGTACAAGATGAACGGTGACTTGGCCAAGGCTCCAAGGTTTGACAGCGTTCAAGAATTCGACAAGGACAGCTACAAATTGTATAAGGTACATACTCATATCGACAAGCTTGGCTTCGCCTGGGTCAACCTTGATGCTGCCGAGACACCAACCCACAGCTGGGAGGAGCAATTCGGCGGAGTGACTGAGCAGCCACGCCTGGCAAACTACGACTTGAACAACTATAAGTTTGACCACACTTGGTCGATGGAGGGCAAGTTCAACTGGAAGACTCTGATTGAGAATTACAACGAGGTTGGTGATAAAAGCTCCAATATCCAAACATCAAGCCTGCTAATGTTACTCAAAAGTGTTACCATTGTCCCACTGCTCATCCAGGTCTCGCACCCTTTTTCAAGGGCAACAGGCAGATGGTATATGGCTGCCAGAAACACTGGATTGAGCACCTTGGTGGTAAAGGAGAGGAGAGATCAAGCTCTGTCAGTCCTACCTTTGCGTTCCCAAATGCTTCCATCACTTTAACGTGAGGTTTCATTCTGTCTTTGAATCGTCTAAGTGTCAAGCTAATTTTCCTTAGTCCTATCTTGTTCTACATGATGTCCATCGTTCCAACCTCGGCTACCACCAGCTTGATGCGCTATGAGGTTTACCGGGCTAAGGACGCCACTGATAAAGCATTTAGAGAAAAGCTAGACTTCTTTGCTCAAGTTGAGGGAGAGGACAAGTGGCTTGCGAACGGAGCTCAGGGTAATCTGAACAGCGACACTTACACCACGGGCCCATTCCATCCAGAGGCTGAGGAAGGTGTGACTTTTGTCACCAGCTTGATCAAAGACGTTTTGCATCAACACGTGGATGAGGAAAAGAAGCGTGGCGATGAGTGGTGGCCCGCACGCAGAGCTTTAGTAAAGAAGACTTCTGAAGAGGATGAGGTATTCTGCCGCGGAGTTTGCCAAAACTCAACATTGAACGGCAACAGTGCGGGAGAGGAATTGGCTTGGTGATTGGAAACTTGAATGCTATGAAAATATTTGTTACTTGACTATGAATCGAATGCTCTCATTTAAAACCTTGCATACAATTTCATTGACTTAGAAGACACTTGACGATTAGGAGAACTAGGGATAATAGTTCCTGCTATGTATAAATCACGATGTTAGGAGGGGTCTGAGGCCGTAACCACGTAATAAATGTGTTATTTATCAGAGAAAATCTGCCCGAGAGCTTATCCTCGCTCGTTAATTTAGTTGTCGTTCATATCTGAGGACTATGTGTTAACAAATGGGAAGTTAGATGATGCTAAGACGCTACGATAAGACATAGTTTTTCATATGGTTATATAAGATTAACTATGACTTATCTTATTATTAATCTGGCTATTAGGGCTTATTAAAATAATCTAATTATTTAATAAATTACTTTTTAAATACTAATTAGTAAGATAATATTAACTTATACCTATAATAAAAGGTAAGATTACTTAACCTTTTATATTAATTACCTATATAATAATAATCTATTTATAATTTCCAGCCTATATTAAGTTTTCTCTTTTATATTATTTTATGCCTATAATAACTATACTACTTATAATAATACTTATTATAAAACCAGTCTTATTAAACTTAATTATAGAGTGTATCTAGATAAATACTATATTTTGCAATTATGTTCTCTATAAGCCTAAAGCTATTGCAAATAATATTCGAATCTTTATACTTAGCTCCCTGATAGTCCTATCTACGAAAGAGATAAATCTCGAGGTCTTTGTGTCACCTTGCGAAGTTGGAAGCCTAGCGCTTGCCTACAGGTGACGTGTCGCGGTCAAGAAGTAATCGGTTGCCTATTTATTCCATATGAAGCCGTCGCGGGGAAAATCCTCGCGAGTCTAGGTCGAGAATAAACCGAATTATGATTTGTTCCACTAGATCCGATAGTTTGCGTGATTTTAGGATAGAACCACGCGTGGAGGATGCCCTTTTGCCCTCAACATCTGGGTTTGACATATTTGTTAGTTGAAAATTAATTGATTGAACTGGGAAGATGTAAATTGAGAAGTTCTTTGTTGCACCCACTTGTCTGTTGCACTCGCTTATCACGGACGTTATGATATTAAGTTTGCTTAAAAGGTAGAATGTTGGGTTAGCAATAATCAGTAGTACTAAAAGTGTTGAATGTTAATTAAAGTACGCAGACAGCTTATCATCCCAGTTATTTGCTCTAGCCATGAAGGTCATACGTACCCTGCAACGGTATGAAGGCACGAAAATGCAACCCCAATTTGTGTCGGCCGAGATTTCCAGGGGTTTCCCGCAATTAACTCTCTACCATATAGTCAGTAGAGTCATGAATTGTCAAATTTAATCTTCTGATACGGAGACATAGAAATTGCGACTGCCCAAAGGAGTTTGTTCTGTCTACGACATCTTTTCCATGACAGCCAAGAACTAAATCACGGCACGGCATCCTATTACTTGAATAAGTGGCCTGTCTTACGGTGCCATGTACCTGGTGTTTATAGCACCATTCCAAGACATGACAGCTGAATGCGACCCCCTCGCCTTATCCTCTACATTTGCGGGATGAGTGCGGCGGCTTAGATTTCATCAAATCCAACTCAGGTTTTGCCATGCTTGTGCAGGATCTGCTGGAGGAGACGCCTGTGCTGCTCGAATGAGGCTCAGCTGCAACGATGTTCACGCCTCATTTTGGACCTGCTTCATCCCAATAGGGCTAATACCAAGGACTTCTCAAGACTGCGACATAGCCTGTGTCTATTTTTATCTCAGCATGAACGTAATGGACCCATGATACCCGGGGAGATCCGAGTGGTCGGCCGCTTTCAAGCGACAGCCAATGAAGGCAGGCCTAAAACAGCCCGGGCTACAAAGGGTATAGATCGGCGCGAAAAGAAATGTTCACAGGGGCGTCTGAAACCCTGCGACGTGGATTCTCAAAGAAAATAGAACAGTGTCCGAACGTAAGCCTCGTATCGGTGCCGTGTTGGGTTCAGATTGATGCAGATCACCAATTCTCAGCCCCCAACGACCGCTTGGCTCAATGCCGCCAAAGTCCATGTGGATTTGGGCATTATGTCGTGTCCCCCTTCAGCAAGGGGTCATCAACATGTAAGTAACGGCCTGTTCTCACATTACACCCACACCTGCAAATGCACACATAGAGGATTACCATTGTACTTAAACAAAACGCCAAGACCCTCGTGAGCCTGAAGAAGGTCGTAACCGGACTAAAAGTCGTCGGGGAAAAATAACGACGGCGTTGTTAAAACAAAAAACCTGGCACATGATGGCATCTCTACATAACCGGACTTCTCAGCCAACCACTTCCGACCAAGCAATGGCAGACAGTGACACGATTACATCTGCATGGAGCCTCGCCCGAGACGAGCAACAGCCACCGCAACAGCGACCTCAGCGAGATAAACAGCCAAAGACACCCAAGCGAGTTTGCACAGCATGTCGCCGTCGCAAAGTCGGCTGTGATAAGAAGCAGCCGTGCCAGAACTGCAAAAAGGCGGGCAATGATTGCGTCTACCCTCCGAGTAATGATGCCAATGCGCACCAGATGATCCGCGACGAGCGATTACTTGAGCAGCTCAACCGCTTAGAGCCAATGTTCAAAACGTTAGCCAGCTACGCCGATCGGGGCATGTTGCCTGCTGTAGTAGGTTCAATGCTACCAGAGGCTGCCAACAACAATCATTCCTCGCCAACTCCTCCCACTCCTCAACATTCAGCCGGCTCTGGTAGCGCAAGAGATCGGCCGGTATATCGCCCTGTAGGCACCCAGCAGACTGCGACACAACGGACTCCCAGTCCTCCGGGTCAGCACTCACAACCACAGGGTTCCGAATTGACCGGCGGCGAGGGACAGTCCAAGTCTAGCAAGGGCAAAGGGACCCCAGATTCGGCTTGGTCGTCGCTGGGGACATCCACCGGTAAGCTGGTCAAGGACGACGGTCGACATCGATACGTGAGCGGGGCGTTTTGGGAGTCTCTGCATAATGAGGTAAGAAGCCGATTGTGTATTTTGACAATTCATGGTTTTGATTCATCTGCTTAGGGCGATATGAACGGGATGACAACAGGTGATAATGAGGACGAAGACGAAGACGACGACGACGACGACGAGTGCGACGATGATCCGCCACGACCGAGCCTCGGCTCGCTACAATACGCCCTTATCTTCAACAGCAACTTCCAGCAAAGTGGATCAGATTCTATCCATCCACCTCATTCACAGAGGCTTCATGCTTGGAAGCTATTCAAAGAAAACGTACACCCTCTTGCTACCATTTTACACGTACCTTCAGTGGAACCTTTAGTCCTCCAGGCGATGCAGAACACGCAGAACCTTGCGCCTCGTATCGAGGCTCTCTTGTTCGTTATATATTTTGGTGCCGTCAACAGCATTAGCCCAGATGACTGCGAATTACAGTTCGGGTCACCGCAATCTGCTCTGCTGGTAGGGTTCAGGCGGGGCGTAGACAGTGCTCTCGTGCGCTCAAGGATGATGGAGACGGACGACATGCTCATACTGCAGACGTTCGTCATTTACTTAGTGATCTTGCGATCGGTCGACCCTACATACTCTTGGAACATGACCGGTCTAGCCGTTCGACTCGCCCAGGCTCTTGGAATGCACCGTGACGGAAGGCTTCTGAACCTCAGCCCGTTTGATGCCGAAATGCGGCGCCGGCTTTGGTGGGGTATATGTATTCTGGACACTCCCGCTTCAGAGGAATATTCGGGCTCGACTGGTGTGTGAGTAAACAGTCTCTACCTCCCTTGATCCAAGAATGTGCCATTCTCACCAATTTCTAGCTTAGAGCTCAGTAGCTTCGATTCGAGGCCCCCTCTCAACGTCAACGATTCCGATCTGCATCCTGATATGACAGATGATCCAGCCGAGTCTCAAGACTTGACGGACATGTCCTTCACTGTTGCTCGATGCTGGGCCTCAAATGTCTGGCGAACCATGATTGATACGCGCAGAGCCGATCCAGATAGCGAAAAAAGCTTCCGGTTGATGACATTGGCAGAGAGGCAGAGCTGGGTCGACAGAAAGTCGCAGGAGATTAGTGGCCGATTTTCTGGTGACACAAACTCGAGGAAGTCGCTTCACCTAGTAAGTAGACTACCCCCTCAGCCAACCTATCTTTACTGATATCTTCCTCCTAGTTGTTGAGTTCCTTCACCGGTACCATCATCAAAAATCTTCGCTTCTTAGCTCTTAACCCACTCGAGCCTGGATCTCAATTAGACGATGACCAAAGAAAACGAGTCCTACAGGATGCAATCGAATGTATGACACATTCATATCGACTACGTACAGATTCTCTCGTAGCACACTGGTCGTGGCTGACAAAAGGTTACCATGAGTGGCATGCGTTCGCTATCATATTATCAGAGCTATCCAACCGACCGTTGGTCAGAGATGCCACCAAAGCATGGCAGGTTATAGAACAAAGTGCTGTACTGCGCTGGGATTCATCAACGCGACACCGAAAGGTGCACCAGTGGCGGTCGGTAATGAGAGGTATTGACAAGGCTAGAAGACGCCGGAAGAAAGAGTTGGGGCGTCGTAAATCTGCCAATACGACCCCGTCTTCAACCCTTCCACTTGAAACGGGCCCAGCAATACAGCAAGGGCTGTCGAACCATCCACAGGCACATCAGAGTGACTTCCCTTTACTGGAAAATGCCTTGAATCACGAATTTCAAGTATCCATGAGCCAAGCGGATGAATTTATGGGATCTCTGTTAGGCCCTGTTGATCAGTGCAATTTCAGTGGTGACGATGGGCAACTGTATTATCTTTGACAAAAGCCAAGCTACGATAGAGTAGATCAAACTTTAAACGCATCAAAAAAGACTGCAGCAGACATCTTGACTATATAATAACCCCGTGTACTGAATTCTGATGCCGGCTCAACCCGCTGGATCCGAGGCTTCGGACTACGTCGGTCTGGTGCTCGGGCTCGTTAAGAGACTGACGGGTTTCTGATGGACACGTCTGGTACAGATAGAATGGTACGTCAAGTTCAGCGGCCGCCCCGAAGACAGGTCAGAATCGGAGGTCAACGTGGTTAGTACAATCAATATGGGCTCTGCCAGTGCTCCGACTAACCCGAGTCCCGGACACAGCGCCGGAGTTTGGTTGTTGTCGCGTCGGGCTCGCACACTGGAAAGATAGCAAACCCGGCCAGGCGAACTGGATAGAATTATACCGATCTGGCCAGCTCATTATTTGTAAGCAACCCGAGCCAAGAGCAGGTGATTGATCGATCAAGGCTGCCAACAACAACAGCGTGTGTATTTCGAGGTTGATACTGAATGAAACTTTTCACTTACTTGCATCGTTTTCATAGGCTTCATACGCCAAAACTAAATCGAATGTCTTGAACGTGGGTGAGGCCGAATGGATTGGCTGCTCCTCGTTACGGCAGCTCTGAGCGAGGCGGGAAATTCGGCCGAGATCCCGAGACTAGCTATACCCGTATCTAAATCCCCGCGCAATGTCCCCATCAGCGCTACTTGGCTGGGCTCTTCGGTTTTTTTTATCCAGTCGTTCTCGGCAATATCAAAATCAAGTTTGGATCTGGGCTAAGTTGTAGACATCATAAAAGAGTGTGTACTATACTTGAATTCAAATCAAATCAAGACGATAAGCAGTTCAGACCCTACTATCGACAGGATTCTCAAACGTACTAGGATACGATGCCCGCTAACAAGAAGCTGAAAGTTATTGTAGTTGGCGCCGGCTTTGGTGGGCTGGCAGCAGCTATTGAACTGGCAGACCGTGGTTTCGAGGTTACTGTTCTTGAGAAGTACCCAGATTCCTCCAGCCAAGGTGGTAAGTTAAAATTTGAAACTAAAATAATCGTCTTCGCCTAGAGACTCGCTAAGAAGGCTGTCCCTCTCACAGACATTCTCGACTTCTTCCCTAATGCTGGTTGCATCATCCACCGCTGGGATGATGGCAAGGTCGGACAAGAAATTCACGACACCGGATGCAGTCTCATCCAAACCATGGAACTCTGTAAATATGACGGCAAGCTCATCACCAACGTGCCCTGGGCGAGAGGCAGTGTGGAGCATAATCTTACCTACGCTGGCCACCGAGGTAAGATTCACTCCATCATCCTCAGTTACGCCAAAACACTGGTTCAGGACATCAGGATCGGCGTAGCAGTCACAGATTATCTCGAAGAAGAAGATAGAGCTGGCGTCTTGATCTCCACCGGCGAGACCCTCTGGGCTGACTGTGTCATTGCCGCTGATGGTCCAAGGTCAATCGCACGAGAGAAGGTACTCAAACTCGATGATCAGGCTAAGGACGGTAATAAAAGTGGCTGGTCTGTGTTTAGAAGCTTCTTCAAGACCAATGAGACTATGCTCAAGCATCCGGGGCTGAAGGATCTGTACCACAAGGACAGAGATGTTCTGCGAGTTTGGATGTACGACAACTTGACCCTTTTGGCTGTTGTTTGGAATCAGGGCAAAGACATTGCCTGGGTATTGGTCCATCCAGTAAGGTACCCGGCTTGAGTCTCTGGACGGCTAGGCTAATACTGTGTGTCGTAGGATGACAAAGAGTCAAGCGAATCCTGGTCAAATGTTGCTGAGAGAGAGCATGTGGCCAAATGGATGAAGGTTTTCACGGCCGAAGACGCCCAAGCCTTGTTTGAAGTGACCCCCGTGGGGAAGACGATTGACTTCAAGCTCGTTTACCGACCGACAATAGACAATTGGGTAAGTGGGGGGGGCCGAACCATTCTCATCGGAGACGCAGCCCATGCAAACCTGCCTACAGCTGGCCAAGGAGCATCACAGGCATTGGAAGATGCCGTAACTGTAGCTCAATGCATGGAAATGTCTGGCAGAGATGTGAAGCTAGGTTTGGAGGCGGCGCAGAGGATCCGTTATCATCGATCTAACGCCGTCCACAAGAACGGGCAGACCCAAAGAGACGCCTTCTATAAGATTCCCTGGGATGATATCGAGGCAGCACCTGAGGAGTGGGCAAATAAGAGATTTCGCAAACTCAAGCCTTGGGATCCTCTGCAGTTCGCCAAAGAGCAGTTTCCCAAGGTGGCTGAGGATATCAAGAATGGGGTGAAAGGGCATTTAGATGCCGTGGCTGTTCTCCCTCCTAAAGGTGGATATTGGTGAAGGACGAACTTTCTATCAAAACTCATTTCTGGTCTACTTGTTAGCTGCTTATATGTTCCCAATCAGTCAAAACTTCAAAAATAGACATACTTGTAAATATTGATCTTCACACATCTGCGTTCTGTGTCGTTGTGAATATTGCATTATGTTAAACGTCCTGTATACAAGTATTTCTTGACATTTGAGCACGTCATCCGGCTAGACGACCTAACTTACTCTTTCTTATGCCGATTCAACGTCCTGCTTCTTAATGAAGCAGACCTCGAGAGGTAACAAGGGAGCAGATTCTGATCCACGTCAAACTTGACTACTCATGGGCGAGACATCGTATTTTCTCACCTTGTTGTGCAGGCAGAATTTACGCAAGTACGCCTCCCCAGAAGCTGACATATCGAAAGCCCATAGATGTGATAAAATTGACACATGACGTCGAATTTCTAATTTTGTTCTCTGTTTGCATGAGTAGCGGACGGTAGTTGACCGCAATAATATCGACACCCCTTTCATCTATCTCGGCATAGAATTGAGCTTGACCTGACCAAGTGTGCGGGATTCCGTTGCAGGAATGAATTGAGGTGGGTTGAGATACTGCTCGGCCGACATGGCCGCTAGCCTCGGAATATTCGGGAACTGGCACCGCCTGCTGCTGGACTCCAGGGAGCTGTGTAGTAAGGTAGGGTACGGAGGCTAGTTGAGGAACCTGCGAGCGGCAAATATACTTTTTTTTCTGCCAGCTCCTCTGCGGCAGACTGGGATTTGTGTGATGTGCCTTATGATAGGCTGCAAAGAATGAAGTAAAGTAATAAGTAAGTTCATAAACAAGAGTTCTTGAGACCTCATATAGCGAACAAATCCGGATTGGTTGTAGCTTTAGTGTCGAAAGCCGATTTAATAATAAGACTAATAAAATATATGCCACCAAAGACTCAGAGACGCAAAGAAGAGACGCTGGGTAAGTCGAAACATGACGAGATCTAGCCAAAACTTTCTCGTTACCAGTAGAGATATGGCCCTGTTCAATTTAATCCGCATTATTAATTGAGCTGCGTCCACATCCGATGAGTCAACTCTACATTTGTTCGACTCGTTTGTTTTGGAACTCTGCCTTCACGATTAGTAATTATCAAGTGCGTCTTGCTAACCGTTAAATATTGCAAGTTATTTAAACTAAGAAAACCAAGATCTAGCTCTAGGGTAAGACAATTAATAGTGAAACGCTAATCTTGTGTTACATAAGCATATTTCCCCTAAGATTTGGCCTAGGAATTTCATTCACTTCAACTCTCTTTAGACCCCTAAGATGCCTCCAATCCAACTCAGACTCCCTAAGCCAATTCGCCGAAAATGCCGAGATGAACTGAATCGGTGTTGACGTAATGACACATTTCCCCTGCAAGGACTCAGGATCAATGCCGATCTCCCGCCCTCCTTTCCTTTCCTGTTTGGATCCACAAACGAAACCGAGATTCGGATTGAGCCCCGGGTTTCAATTCCAGCTAGCTTGCATATCATCCAGGCGTGGAGACATCCATGCTTTGTTATTGCACCTTGACAAGTCGACCTGGAGATATGGCTGGGTGCTGTATCTACATCTGAGGGTCTGGCTACGAACACTTCACCTACAAATACGTCCTCTCTCCATGCGTTTTATTAAAGTGGTAAAACAAATGCTTCTCATCTGTCCAAAATTCCAAGACAATATTGAATTCATCAACATTCTTCCATCATCATGGCTTCCACAACTCGAGGCCCTATATTCTCTCATATCCTCATCCTCCTTGTTGCTATGCTTAACCTGTGCATTTTGTCCTACGATGCAGGCATGATCAACAACTTGAACAAAGTCAAACCGTACTATGACTGTTTGTCCACCAGCCTGGACTCGGTCTTTCTTGCTAACAACCTGGGTCAGATTTCAACCTCAATAGCGACATTGTCGGTCTCAACGGCGCTATTATTAGTGCTGGATGCATTGTTGGCGGCCCGCTTGTTGGCCCTATCGTTGATCGCTGGGGACGAAAAGCCGGCCTGCTGATGGGCTCAGTATGTATCCTCTTGGGAGTTGCATTGCAGGCATCTGCAGGTGGAGGTATGCTGAATCGTCGTCAATTATCAGTCCATCAGTCAATGCTAACAGTGGTCATTATTAGTTCCACAGCTCATCGTCGGTCGCTTCATCATCGGTGTCGCTACTCTGGTAAACGGTTCTATCGCACCCATGTGGGTGATGGAGTTGGCTTCACCAAAGTACAGATCTGCGCTATCAAACTCCGTCGTTACGTCCGTACCATTTACCTCGTTTCTCGTATCGTGCATGACTCTAGGAATACATAATGCGAAGTCCGACTGGGCATGGAGAGGAATCATGTTTGTGAGTAAATTCAGAACTTCAAGAACTCTCTTCTAAGGCATGGAAAATAGGGAGAAGCAATCCCATCGATTATCAGTCTCTGCCTCTTGCCATTTGTTGACGAAAGCCCACGATGGCTGTTAGCCAAGTGTCGCAAAAATGAGGTAATAGCTAATCCTCCCTGTAGCTACCTGTCTGCTAACCCTCAAGGCCACCGAGATCCTCGCTCGGCTACATTCGAACGGCAATCATGAGCATCCCGTGATTGTGGCAGAGATACAGGAGATTCTCGGTGCTTTGGAGCAAGAAAAAAAGACCAACGGAGGTTGGAAAGAGCTCATATGGCCCGGTATGGCTAAAGCCTCTTATTTTCTCTGTGATTTCTCTAATAGTGATAACAGTCCCCAACTTGAAGAGGTTCAGCATCTCTGTCCTGGTGAATATATTTTACCAAATCTTAGGAGGAAACATGATACTGTAAGCTCGAGGAGGTTTAGTACCTGGACACTTTCACCAACACTAACACCTGCAGGTATTTCTCTTCCTCTATAATAGGAAACCTCCGAATCGAGAACCCTGCAACTGTCATCAAGATCAACGTGGGACTGTTGTTATTTAAAACCTTCTGTAGCGTGGGTGGCGTATTTATTATCGACTGGATCGGGGTTCGCAAGCCTCTTAGTAAGTCTCGAGATCTTGACTCATGGTGGTATGAGACTAAAAGACTTCGCAGTCGCTGGCACGTCCGCCATCGTGGCTCTTTTCGGTCTTCTCGCCGGTTTATCATACCTTGCCGATATCCATCCTGATATCCCCGGATATGCTATCAGCGCTCTGATTGTTGTAGCATTGTTCCTCCTAGCGGTCTCTACCAGCTGGTCAGTTCCTTGTAATCTTGTAGGTGATTCTGGATCATACTAATAGTGCTGTAGGATGCTTCTTGCCTATACATACCCTATTGAGGTCCTCAAATACTCTCAACGAGCCAAGGGTGTAGTAGTTGCTCAGGCTATCGGTTATGCTTTCAGTTTCCTGAACCTCTATACTGCGCCAGTGGCTATCGAGAAGATTGCTTGGCGATACTACGCAATTAATGGCGGGTGGGACCTTGGAATATTACTCATTGTGGTATTGATGTTTGTTGAGACCAAGGGCAGGACTCTAGAGGAGATGGATGAGCTATTTGAAGGCGTGGGTTATAATGATGGTATGACGATTGGGCAAAACACTGTTGCTAGACTGGAACAGGAGGAAAGTGCTGGAACTGGAAGCATTAATAAGAGCCGTTCTACGACCTCCGTTGATACAGACTAAGTAGCTAGGACTCATTACTATAGAAACTGCTTTAAATCCTATTGAATACACTGTAGCTCTTAGATACAGCAAAGAACTCATCGTTAGACTCCCTGGAGTGTACTTCTATTGACTAACGCACTTGAACCAGTGGATGTGATTGACTTGATAGGTCTGAGACTGAGGACAAGTTATTAACTCTTTATTGACAAAAGCTGATTGTATTGCACTGTTCCTATGTCTGCTAATTCTCAAGATAATTTCCTTATTGTTTTCAATACGTTTCTTGATAGGCGTGAGGCTCTGTAGGCCGACCGGGTGGACATGCCTGCCTCGGCTATTTCATTTGACACAGGGATCCTATCCTGTGAATTAGGCGTGCCGTTCACGAGGCCACGGCGAGTTCATGGGGATGCAGGATTATCCCTGCCCCGCCAGAGGCAGAGCAAGGACACCTCTAGAATGAAGTAATTGAATGAGTAGTATTACGTACTGCGTTCTTGGTTCTAAAAAAGCAGCTACCTAGTCGACGCGAGTATTGACCTGATATATGCATTAGCTAAAGAAGTGCGGCGTTTATTGTATATACTTTCAACAGGGCTTTTACACACTTAGATAAGTGGCAAATGAAGTACCACTAAACAAGCAGGGATCTATAATATTCGCTCTACAGATCTCATCAGGGACCTAAGATAGCTAGTGTTCGTAATTAGTATGTAACCTTGACGTTAAGCTATTAATCCATTAATGCTTTTCCGATGTCACACTACTCAAGTAATGTCCTCAATTTGACTTAGTATTATTAGGAATTTATTTAAGCTGAAATGACTTCTCTTAAACTTCTAGTAGTATTTGATTCTTATTATCTATTCTTAATTGAAACACTATGGCAGACTATATTAAGGATAAGCAGGGAGAGTTAATTAACAAAGGTGATTATGCTTAGATATGATTCCGTGGAGGTAGATGCAAGGGTGGTATTTAAAAGATTGTAATAATGGAAAAAGAGGGAGAAAAAAAAAGGCGTAAAGAATCCTCCAAAGGTATGTTTTCCTCGATTTTTAATATTGGCAGTGAACTTATATGTCTAAATTAGGTATTATTTAAGGATCAGTATGGTCACGAAGTTTCGCATAATCTAGGAACTCTGGAGCATAATTAAAACAGCTTTATAAGTATTACACTTATAAGGTGTAAATGATTAATGTATTATTACCTTAAAGCCGATAGTATTATTCTCATTTTATCCTTTATGATCTATTGTCCTGGATGACTATAATTAAGACTATTATAAACAAGGCCATTAACAGGGACGCAGTAAGTCGCTGTTCTACTGCTCCCAATAGTTCAATGCGTCTTCTCACGTTAGCACGTAGTCTTGCTGTCTCTTCTCTCTGCGAACAGTAAACAATGCCTGGTGCCAGTCTAAAGACAGGTTGAACCACATATGGCTCTTTGGTGGCCAACGCGTCAATGCTCAAATGCCTTGCTTCTGGCCAATTGTCGACTGGGTTAGCCTTATGGGTAGGCGATTGGGACGTATGGTCATGAGAGAATGTGCCATCTGGTTGGCTCTTGCTTAGTGGACTGGCTTACACTCGTATCTTACGGACAAACAGAGGAACAGTTGAATGCGGCCAATTTCCGCTACTGAGTGGAGGATCCATGGAGTATTGACTGAGATTCTGGATTTGGATGCATATGCAGGCGGATTACACAAGATGCATTTCTGATTGGAGGGGTTTCGATTGTCGCATTACTGCTAGTGGAGAAGGCTCGTAGTCTTGTAAGGCACGTATGCAATTGGTCGGCTTAGACAGTCTTTATTAGCCTTGCCTGACCACCTGGCTAAGTACTAATACAGTCTAGTGGCCCACGACAAACCCGTTACAGTCTGTGTGTTAGATTACAGCTGGTAAGGGTCTTGGATGTTAGCACGATGCAAGGCGTCGCAATTTCACATCCACCAATTGAAAAGACCATGATCAGCAAATGTTTAGATATAAACGATTGAGACAAGTAGTTGCAGGTCCTCTTAGCATTTCTGCTATCTTGACCAGATATCAGGCTCTAGAACAGTGGGATAAATTTTACTAGTATTATACTAATATATAATTAAACTTTATTTTAAAGTATAAACTTTTACTTATATCATTAGGTAATTACTTTATATTATTTTTATAAATATACTAATTTCCTATTTACTTATAATTATCTCTCTTTATTATTATTAGTATTTAGGGTTAACTCCCTATTACTATAAAAAGCCTATAATCCTAATTATTACTATTATCCTAGTAGAATATTATTCTAGAAGAATAGCCTATATACTACTCCAGAATCTCTATATAATCTTACTAACCCCAAGTATCATTCTGCCAGAACGACGCCCGGACTGGAGACCAGGCCGCCGTATGTGCCTGATTTGAACCCTACAGAGAATCTGTGGGTGTTGATGAAGGCCGAGATCTATCGGTTACACCCAAAACTGACTCCTGCAGAGGATACAGTTGCTATACAACACGCCTTAGTCTTAGCTGCGATGGAAGCTTGGGATAACTTTGAAGAAAGGATTTTACAAAGCCTCTGTAAGACAATGCCAAACCGCGTTAACGCTGTAATTACTGCAGAAGGCTGAGATACAAAGTACTAAAGTTGTTCTAGTTGATACTGTGAGGTTGAAAATGCAAGTTTAAAGCGGCACCTTCAAAAATCCCTGATTCGGATAGATGAGATACTTCTGAGCAGGGGGGATGCGAATACTTTTTGCAACCCACTATAGAAACTCGAAAACACTGAGAATTTTACATGGGTATGAGCCAATGAGAGGTGGTAAATTTCCTCTTTTACGGAAAATGGGACGGACAATAGGGATGTAGGCAAATGTCGCATGTTCTGTGGTGACATCAGTGGACGCCGCATCAGGAACCCTTCCACAAATTGCGTGCAGGCGATTTAACGAAGCTATCGGATTGGCTCTGGATTCGGAAAACGGATGGGTCTTTATCACCGATCTTGGAGGTTTGGGGCTTTGCTGGTCTGAGTGAACAGGAGTTTTATTGCTGCTTCTGGCTATATACAACATTATACGATCTGTTTGCTTTGCAAACAATATTCCTAGCATTGAGCGATATCCTTGGTGAGCCTTTGCATAAGGCAGAAGTTTCAAATGCAAGTGTTTAGGTAGAGGCTTATAGCAGTTCTGATATGTAAATTAATTATTAAATATAGGTATAGGGGCAAAAGACTAATTAAACCTTCTAGTAGCTAGTTTCTGCCGAAGCTTCCCTTAGGATAGTAGTGTTAAACTTAATTTTATAAGGTAAAGCAAAGGATTAGGGACTCAGGGATCGATTTACTGCTCTAATATTATAACTGCTTAGAAGTATGTATTATATATAAATAAGTATCTTGTATTTACTAGTATAACTTTAATTAAAAGGCAAATTAGAAAGTTATATATATTACTATTAAAAATTTATAAGAGATTTAAAATAACCTTTAAGAATATATTATTATATTAATATTATAGTGTATTTAATTAATACTTTTATATTTTAAAGAGCTTTATTATTAAGAATTCTTATATATATATTTATTATTAAAATATAAGTTAAAGCTAGGAGAAATACTATTACTGCTAAGGAAATGCTTATTTATATAATAATAAAAGGCCTTATTTCTTTAAATAATATAAATCTCTACTTAATATACTTAATAGCTATAGTATTCTTTTCCTTTTTACTTCTTATTTTTATCCTTTTAGTTATTAAATAAATAAGCTAATTTAAATTTTTATAAATTAATTTATATACTTTTTATATAATTATAAATTATTAATACTATCTTTTTATCTCATGTAAGTTTTATTTTTTATCTAGCTTATGTATCTATAATATAGAATTTACTATACTTTTTTATACCTTGCCTACAAGCCTAGTCAAACACATCCATAACATACCTCACATTCCTTTGTTCATCGAACCACTTCCTTGCCTCGTCCAAGCCTATGTCACCCCCGGATCTCTTCTCAATCTCGGTCTTCACTTTGATCATAACCTCTTTAACCGAATCAGCCATCGCCCTTGAGCCACACACATACACCATGGCGCCTTTGTTCCAGAGCTCGATAAAGTCCTCCTTGTCTTGCCAGATCCGATCTTGGACATATCTGCACCCTTCTCTATGTCGACTGTACGCTCGACGTACCTGTACTACGCCAAGCTTCTGCCAACTATCGAACTCGTCGCGGTAAAGATCATCTTGGTCAGGAGCACGACAACCGAAGAAGAGCAGAGCTGGCGCAAGAGTGCGACCTGAATCATATATAATGGCGCGTTGCTGTATAAAGCCTCGGAACGGCGCAAGTCCTGATCCAGCGGCAACACAAATTATGGGTGTACGTTCTGGGTTTGAGGGGAGGCTGAAAGCAGCAGGCGATGAACGGATGGCCACTTGGAGCGTGTCACCCTCAGCTAGAGAGTCGAGGTAAGAGGTTGCGACGCCGTTGTATGTGCCGTGGCCTGAAAAAGCGGGCCCTTTGAGGACCGAGAAGGTAATAGTCGCATGAGCCTGATTCCATAGGGGAGATGAGGAGATGGAGCTAAAGAGGGGAGGTCAGTGGGTTGTGAAGCGACATGGCAATGGAATTCTTACTATTGACGAATTCGAATAGATGGCAACATCTGCAAGAAGTCTCCGATAGATAGTTCGACAGAGGGATACCGTTCCAGGATTTCCAGAACTGATACGCGCTTGTTGCTGATCTCCTCAACATAACTTTCCTGGGATAACGAGGTGAGAGCAGCTTTGGTCTCTACATCGGACGCAGCTTCAGCAATAATAAGCAGGTTCTATCATGGCCAGTTAGAATTATGCCACATGTGTGCTTGACTGTTCTTTTTCTCACCCTCTTTGTGGCCGGCTGCGAAAGCTCAACATAGGAGTTTAATACATCCATCGCTGATACAGACGTGTCAGTCGGCAGGGCAGCTGGCGTACTGCTCGAAATTTCCAAATGAGCATCCATTGGAAGCCTGAACCTCCTCAGGGCTCGGCGAACAATCTCATGGGGATTGATGGGCAGAACAGCAAGGTAGTCTCCTGCTGTGTATCCAGTGCCTTCAGGTAATTGTATCTCAATGTGTTTCTTCTTGGATTTTACATCGATGTTACTTGTTAGTGTCTTGGTAGAGGCCACTGTTGCCTCCTTGACATCTTGACGGAGGGTAAGGGTCCTAAAGCTACAGCTCTTGACGCTCAGTCCCTTGTCTGTAAGCATTGTTTTGCAGTCAGGCTTGTAACGCTTTTCAAGAGCAGGCCACAGAATGTTATCTTCCCATGTCTCAAAGTCACTGAAGACCATGTTCTGAGATACATCGGCAAGACCCATGTCCACAAGTCGAGTAGCGCCATGCTTGGCGAGAGTACGGTCCACAAGCTTGGGAATGCGGTGGAAGGTCAGCACCCAATCCTTGTGACCACAGCCAAAAACAGCATACGAGACGTCCTTGAATGGCTTCTCTTCTTGGGCAGCATTCTCAACCCAGGCAACAAAATGCCCAGCATTGTCAGGGGGTTGGCCTTCGTATGATGCGGTGATGATAACAACAGGTTGATCTGCAGGAAGATTCCCATTTGCCATGTCAAGACAATCAATCTTTGTGACGCGGAACCCATGCTGCGCGGCATCAGTTGCAACTCTCTGGGCCAAAGACTCGCATGTTCCACTATTGGATCCGTATAAGATTGTTATAGGGATACCGTCTTCAGCGTCAGCAGACTCGCCATTGGTCCCATTCGCCTCGCCTGTCGCTAAAACAGGCAGACCAGCCAGCCGGCGCTCAAGGGTGGTCGGCGTAAGATTATCCCTCAAGATTGCGCGCATATACATATCTTTGGGCTTGATGGTCAAAGTCTGCTTGAAGCCTAGATGATAGTTGGGATCAAGAACAAAATTGAAATTCTGCAGAAGCATAACCATGACCAGCAGAGATTCCTGCCAAGCAAACGGTCTTCCAATGCAGGCTCGCATGCCATTACCAAACGGCTTCCACGAGTTAGGAAATTCCTTGTTCATTCTGGCAAAGTTTTCATCGAACATGCGTTCTGGCCTGAACTTGTCTGCATCGTCGCCGAACACCGTGGGGTCGAGTTGTGATTTTGCGAGGAGGTTGATGATTGTTTCGCCAGCCATCACGGGATACTTGTTCCCAAGAAGCGTGTCTTCAAAGGCTTCGACAGTGAAGAGAGGGATAGTTGCGTTGAGACGAAGAGTTTCTCTCAGAACACCATTCAGATATGGAAGCTTAGAGAGATGTTCCACCTGAATAGGTCCTTTCCCGACCACCCGATCCACCTCATTCTGAGCAAGCTGGTAGGCATCTGGATGAGTGAGGAGTTGGTAGAAAGCAAACGATAGGAGTCCCGAAGTAGTTTCGTGCCCTGCAATAAGAAAGGTGATCAAGTTATCCATGATACTCTCGTCAGTCATCTTCTTGCCAGTTTTTGTGTCGACACCTTCAAGCATAGCTGCCAAGAGATCCTTCCGCGTGCTTCCATCTGCCTTTCGGGCGTCAAGAACCTCCCTAGCAGTATTTCTCATGATTTCAATATCTTGCTGATATTTGCGATCGCGATCGCGGTAGACAATTCCAGGTAAAGGCAATCTTCGAGGCTTTTCTCCAGCCTCTGTGAGAAACTCACCCATTGCCTCAATGAATGGATGGAGTACTGGAGAATAGTAGCTGTTAAATCTATAGCCCATAGAACATAACGCCAATGTGTCTAACGTAAGACGAGTAAAGTCATCGGTTGCCATGATGGGGGAGTTCGGTCCGTATCGCGCCCACTTGAGAGCAAGTTGGGAGGCAATGTCGTGCATCTCGTCGAACATGTGCTGGATCGACAATGGTCCGAAGGCTGGCATCAGTACTCTGTGAGCAATGCCCCAGTTCTCCTCTCCGAGTCTGGCCTGCCTTTCTATTCAGGGTATGCTCTGTCACCGTTACCGAACAAACTTACGGTAAAAAGCCCGTCGTGAACTCCATCTCGAATTTCCTATCAAATCATCAGCCTCAGTGCCTCCCTATGAGCATACTATGACTTACAGTGAGTGCTGAGTTAACACATTTCTTGAACCGCTTCTCATTGCATGTCTCGTTGACCAAGGCTTGTGTAGATACGATCACGACGGATCGGCCGGGGAATTTCAGTCGATAAATCTCGCCTTGCGATGAATTGTTAGTTAATTGTAGTGGCCCTTCAATCGCAAGATGATACTCACCATGCTGTTCAGCGAGCGATACCATAGAACCCAGAGGGAATTCGGGGTCGATTGATGTAATGTTACCTAGCAAAGGCAAGCCCGAAGGGGATGGGATCTCAACTGTCCCCGCCATAATACTTTGATGCTTAGTTCGCCGTAGTTCAGTCTACGGCCTCTGTGTCAGAGGACATAAAGAAGAAGGATTTTTGACGCAATTTTGTATGCTCCACGACATGGGACCACAAGGGTCAAAGTTTTGCAGGTGCCTCGGCTCATGACGAATGCATTGACCAGGGCAGTTCTACTCTCCATGACCTAACAAGAAATGTCAGGGTCTTGTCAATTTTGTTGGGACGTGATGTCTTCTCCCACAGACCGAAGATAGTATATGAGCTCGAAGAAAGGCCCCTGAAGTCGGCCAAAATGTTGAGTCAGTACCTCGGTGAGACCCACTTAGTCCCGGAGTGCCGAGGTGCAGTGGTGATCATCGTACTTCGCTGGAAGCATTATCTCGATAACATGAAGTCTGGGACTTGGCGAGATAAGATTCTATTGTATCCCTCTACCTTGTCGCTGAATTACTTCTTCGGAGATGGGCAGTTTCTTCAGAGTTAACGACAAAGTTACAGTCACCAATAGCATCATAACGAGTACCATGACCCGCACCTAGAAAGAATTTCTGAAGGAGTCATCGGGTATGAAATTGGCGAATGGTGTCCAAGACGCCGATAACATCCCCGTCGATGCGAAATCATAGTCCTCGGAGTCATCAAGCCACTGCGCAGTCTCAAGTCCCTGCGTTTCTGGTGAAACTGTTGGGTCTCGTGAAACGACCTCAGCTTCTCGAAGCCTTTTCTCGACCATGGTCCTAGCGCGGTCGAATAGCTTATACGCCGCATTGGCAGAGAAATAAGCCTTTTGCATCTTATTTAGAGCTAGCAGGCAGAGCCCCAAGTTATTCTTTGCCAGCTGGATAGATGATAAGTTCGATGATGTCATTTCAACCAAGTAGACTAGGATTGGCAGGCCAATGGTGAGGATGCAAATAAACTGTTAATGTGATAGTGCCTGGAGGTGTCTGGGTACGCACGCAATCGAGTGGGAGAACTTTATCAGATCTTCTGCTATTATGCAATTAACGGCGTAGGTTGGGTAAGTAGCTGCAGTCCGAAGCTTGATATTGGCAAATATTCTCCAAGAATCCTTCTCCTATGCAGGAACTCTATGCGGTGTTTGTGGAGGAATGGCCGATAAAGAGCTATGATAGCTGCCCTGCAATTGTTTAGCATATGGCTATTCGCAATCCCCTAAAATCTACTAAGCATGAAGCCAAAATTAACATAAATGAGATGCTAGCACTGGACTCTGGTCATTGCATGTGCTACTTGGTACCGTACTCATTGTGCTTTTGTGCGTGAATCCCTGGATCTGGCGTCCACAAAGTGTCTTATAGGCACTGTCTCAACCAGCAGCCTCTCTCAAGGTATAGGCAATCATCACGCCAGCATGAACGTTTTCCGCTGTAGGGTAGGTAGAACCATTCCAGCTCTCACCCACATTGATTTAGGCTGATTTGTATGGTGTTTTATAAAAAATGCATCTCTACGCTAACTTTTTGTACCCCGCATACACCAGTGTGATTACTAAAGGCATATACAGAGGCGAGTGGCCTACGGCAGTCTTGTGCCACTTGAAGAGACTACCCTAAATAGCAGTTTGGCCTTAGTGTTAGTCTTCGGACAAGCGATAGAAAGTGTTATATAAAGTTTTTGGAACGTTGAGAGAGCACGTACCGCATCATCGACAACAGCCTCGTTGACATGAGTCTCGTTGACCTGCTCTCGGGTAACCTGGCCCTCAGCAGTCTCTACTGGGGCGGACTGCACCGTGGAAAACGCAGCAGTGATAGCGAGGATTTTGAAGAGGTTGACTTGCATATTGGGCGATATAATATTATTATCGTTGGCAGGATAAAGAAGAAAGCATAGGGATTGAGGATTGGTTTAAAGGCTACGCTCATTTGGTCGTTCAGTGAGTGAGAAGGCTGCTCTACTTATATTCATCAATTCATGATCCCGTTCGGATATTGCTGTCTAGGAATTTATCATCGCTATTCTCCCACAATATACCGCGATAATCCTGCCTCAATTGGGGTTATCAACTGCTGAATCCATGTTCAAGAAACTGTATGTTGGTCAGAGTGGCTGCGTCGCGTGCGGAATAGTATAACAATCCTTGTGATTTATGGTTATCTTCTAACAGTCATTTTCGTGGGACGATTCCGAATCGTCTCCAGTGTTGTTGGTCGTTCGACATATGCTTGAGGCATTTTTAATACGCAGACCAACGGACCAACAGTGGAACTTTTGAGTGCGTGCCTCGCCTTAAGAAAATATCAATTTGGAGATTATTGTAGCGAGGGCGTGATTGGCACACGGCGGCCTCCCTTATTTGCCCTAGTTCAGCATATAGACTGTCCCTTTCGGCGGCACAGCCCTGATGCTACGTTACGGTCAAGTATTTGCTCCAATAGAAATTGAATATCTTCTCGATCCTTCAAGGTGGTAGCCCCAATCCACATTCCACCGTTTGACTTTGTGGTGACTTCCAGATACAGTAGTTCAATCAGCCCAGGTGCCCCTTTGTTTGCGCACTGCCCAACTACTTCTATAGTACCATTACTACGTAGGTACATGCTTCACCTGCACCCCTGCAGCTAGCGCTTCACACACCCCGCCTCTGATAAACATACCATTAAACCTCGACAACTTGCAATGGGGCTATGGCTAGCCTTCTTGCCGACTCTCTTGATCCTCTCTTCGCAGTGAGATCTCTGCAATATCTGGTTAAACTCGCTATCCACTGCTCCGTTGCAAGTTTCTTTTTAGTTTTTACGGTAGTTCGTCCTCGATATCCTCAAGCCACGCCGCCATTACTTACATCAACTCGCTGGAAATATGGCGGACAAACTGCCAGCAAGTGTTCCCCGGACTCTCTTATTTGTTAGTATGCTAACTACTTGATTAACCAACTTTAGGATCCCACCATGCCTCAAGGCGCTGCAGACCGACAACCTGTGGATGATAATATGTCGCTACGTAATATACTCAAATCGATGAAGAAGGATCCAGACGGAAATGGCATAAATGCATTAGGCTACGATGGTGTGCTTCGTAGTTTTAACCTGGAACGGAATGTTGTTGATGCAGTTGGCCTTAACCCAACCCAGATCAGAGAATATTATAAAGGTCTGCCTATGCCTGATAGATTTCTCACCGCCGATGGCCGTAATATATCCCGCAGGGATATGTTCTCCCCTGATGCAGAGAATATTCCCAAGAAGTTTACAGCGGAGGATATAGCCAAAATTGAGGCACATAACGAGGAGTTAGAAAGGCGCGGAGTCACATGCTGTGTTCTAGACAAATCAACAGACGACGGTAAACCGAATCCTAGATAGTTCCTTTTACTTTTAGTTCCTGTAGAATGTTAATTATTTTATCTCTTATCACGCTCTTTCCTGTGTATCTGTTATATGATACTGCGTGCCATATCGATATTTCCGCTTTAACCTCTTATAGAGCAGCCGGCATAGGTAAATAAAAAATCATCCACTGGAATGGGGTTTGAGCCCGGGGATGTACTACCGTCGCCGATATCAAAGCGGCCATTCTTTTCAAACTTGGACGTAGATCATCGAGAAGAGCAATAATTTCCGTTATATCCTTTTTAATAACAGCAGTTATAATACTAAATATAGAGATATCAGCTTCTGATATATAAACCTTCTGTAGATTTATTTATACTATAGTTACAGTTAAAGTCAGCTGCAACATCTACATATAGGTATCTAAATTGTTGCAAATCCTTATCACCTTCCTTCTCTTCTATTATCTATCGGAATCTCAACTTGATTGCGTTGATCTTTGTCACTGTGGTTTATACTCCTTTGAGCTCCTTAGGATAATGTTTAAACTTATTCAAGATCGTTTTCAAGCTTGCAAGAACAATTTCGCAGCTCTCGAGGATATTTTGCCCGAGTCTCCCCCTTCGTCTACGTATCGTCGATGTACTTCAGGGCTTAGTAAAGGACTCTGGGACTATAGATAGAGCAATTTTAAAATCTGCCTCAGTTCAGTTAGTACAATTAATAGGTTCTTTATTAAGCCGGATTAAAACCGACTGCCGCAGTAACAGGGTTGTCCTTAGAAACCGGGCTGATAGCCATGCCATAATCTTCAGAAATGGCAGTAAGGATAGAATTTTTGTAGTTAGTATATCACAATAAAACTTAGATATCCGCTGTAGTAATATTATTGGTTCTCTTCAGAGAACTATTGGCAGAGTCAGAGGTATGAATATAATCAGAGAAAAGCATAAGAACTTTAACTTATATATATATATAAATTATCTCTAAAAGTGGGATATTTACAGATATCGCCGATGCTTATATCGCATTGACACTCTTAAGAACTCAGCAAAGTAGCCGGGGAGAATCAAGATGCCCAAATATAATAACTATAATTAGTTTATTATATAAGTTTCATTATCCTCAGCTCCTGGCAATTATTATTTGCATTAGCTGGCCACCAAGATGAAATTCATATAGGAAATTTACTGGCGCTAGCACGATATAGGCCTGGCGACGATTAGCATTCTGGGCGCTATACTAGTGGTATCTATCAAATACACCACTATCAATCCATGCGCTTTCCCAATATTCTTTCTGCTTCGCCATGTAATTTTTGCCGCCTTAGCTTCATTCTCGCAGAATATCTCCACTGCTCCATCCCAGACCTCATCGTTATTATCCAGAACTGCCGAGCTGATAACCATATTAGCCTTAATTAGATCAAGTTGGTGGCGCAGCACCTCGGTGCCTTTCACTATCCTTCCTTTCCTAACCTCTGTGTTATTTATTTACATTCATGCAAGCTGCTCTCGAAGCGGTGCGTATTCTTGGGTGCCAGGTGTGCCTGGTATTATCAAATGATATTACCCTGGGCTTTCCAACCGCCCGATAATAAAGTCTTATTTAGGTATTTCCTGGTCGAACTCTACGCGAGGTAAATTAATCGGGATTCCATCGAAGTAAGTTATCTTTATAATTACTATAGTAATAGGAACATATCTATCCTTATTCACCCAGGTCCCTACCCCGGAATATTCATATGCTATTTACTAAAGCTGCAGCTTTCCATCGAGAATCTATTAAAGCCTCCGGAACTGGTGCTCTGTGACCTAATCGTTATAAATATAATTGGTGATAGGCTTAAGAATGATACTTATAATAATGACCATGCCTCCTACAACGAGAACTATAACGAGGGCAAGAACGCTAAAGGACTTATACCCTCCTGGGTTTGGTACTTTCATTGATCGGCAGAGATTCTGGGATTCAGACCTCTGCGGAACCTTCAGGGTAAGATTTTCTATTAAGGGAGAAGTCGAACCGGTTGGATACTTAACAAGGGCATACTGGAGTTCTATTAAACTGATCGCAAACCAGTTTTTGACTTCAGTAGCCTATTGGTTGCTAGGAAGAAAACTTTGTATGGACTGAGCAACCTTTTCGCCTGCACGAAGCGCGCCTGCCCCTCTTCCCCCAAGTGAGAAACTGATACCTTTAGCACCATTTAGGGCTAGTATTAGTCTGGCTGTGGCATTCTGAGTGGGATTCAGCTCAATGGTGGAAATGTGGTCTCGTAATAGGACGGCTGCAGTTAACGGGGAGCATATAGGCGTTTGTCTCTTTGGATTACACACTTGATAATAATCAGTGCAAGCCATGATGTTTACCAAATCTGTTACCAGTTAGCTCTAACACTATAACATTCGATAAGACTTACTGTCGGGTTGGCAGAATCTTTTTGAGATATGATTTGCATGAAATCCAAAAAATGGGTCATCAATAGGGGTCATGGAGAACACAAAATTTGGAAGTAGCCAGACGAGGGTGAGATCTTCATCTGGCTGGTAGGATTCCTGCGAGGGAAACTAGCTTGAGGCCTTGATATCTCCACCATAATGACTCATCGAGCTGCCAATGATGATGTTAGCAATATAGGAAAATACGAGTGACTGAAATTACCTCAACCCATATCCAACATCCAAGACGGCCAGGCACGAGTCATATTCAAAGGTAAATGGTGTTTAAGGAGCTGTGCTATTGCCAATATAATATTGATACACGGGGTAGGCGGTATAGTTAGTGTGAGTCTCCTTTGTAAAATTTCGGACCACCTTAGAATCGACGACGGCGCATTTGGTTACCCTGCGGTAATAAATTCGGTTTTCCAGGGGCGCGTTAATACCCAGCTCGTAGTGAGAGTCGATGCATCCGCTGTCAAGTTCAAGCGTAGCCGAGCAGAAGCCATTCCCGAGAGCGCAGTACGCGTTTGCATCTTCGGTCTATGTCATTGTTTTTAAACAAACGAGTTATATTGTGTCGAGCTATCATTACTCTCATAACAACCTCGTGCGTGTGTGTCCGCAATGATGGTGTTGCTTAGTGATTTGCTTGAAAGGCCGGTTTCAGACGTGTTGTCGAATACTATCCCACAAGTTCCTGGCGTAATCAAAATGTGGCTTCCGGCAGATCTGGCAATGGCACATGAAAAGGGTCCAACCATAGACCAAACGCAGAAATTGGTAAGAGCAAGCAAAGCCCACGCCCATGACCGAAGTATAGTCACCGAGAAGTCTCTTGGCCCCGTTTGTCGACGCCGCCATGGGAATGGAAGCGCCAGCAATTCTCGAGTAGCACCGATTGATGTGCCGGCATTGCGAAAGGTTGCCTGGTGCTGAAAGTGCAATACATCAGTAACTTTGTCTGTGGCGTTCATCTGGTGAATATCAAAGGTCAGAATGCTCCAGAACTGGCTTCCAACAAGGACAAGGAATATAGATAGGGCAGCTACCAAGATTAAGCCATTTTAAGCAGTCAGGGTTATAGTTGCACCAGTGATTCGCCCATTAGAATAATCGACCCACATGCCAGTATACACGTTAATATACATAGTGAGGAATATCAGAAAAGTTAGCTTAGAAGTTATGCCTGCTACTTAGGCGACATCCAGTGACGGTGTCAAAGTGGTGCTGTTGAGGATTTTCATTCTTTTCAATATCCCTCAACTACCAGAAATATAACTGAAGTATTCTATTTGCTAATAATAGAATTGGGCTCTGGGGGTGGCTATGGCGGGCACATGGTGATCTTCGCCCAGATGTGCAGCCCCCATTTGCACTTGGCTAACTAGCTACACCAACATTCTCAGCAGAATAGTAAGACATTATTCAAAGCCATAAAGAACATATATGATTTTAAGCTGTAAATTCTAGTGTAAATAAGGTGGCCTCACACATAAGTAGGACCTAAGCCGCAAATGCTGATACCTCATAGAAGATAAAAAAGACCATCAACGAGTGCAATTGCAGGATAACACATCTTGAGGAGGAAATGGGTCTATTAAAGGCATAATAAGCTGTAAAGGAACCAATAGGCCACGCGCTGGCTCGATTTGACCCTAAACTGGTGTTTCCCAACATTAAAGAGATCGTGGCTACAAGAGATCAGGTTGTGAAGAACATGCTAAAGCTAATGAACGCGCAGCTCCCAAATCATATTCAAAAAAGCAAAAAGGTCATCTAACAGATAAAGAGCAGTTTTTCTCTAAGTTCACCAAAGTAAATTAAATTTCAAGCTATTTTCGTGGTGCAACAATTAAATGTTGCCGACCATGCATTTCGGAATGATACTACGATGGGTGTGCGGACTCGGGGGCGTACCATGTGATGGTTAATTACATTAGAGAGTGACAGCATTGAGAATTAAAAAAGTATCAGTGGCGGCGTATAAAATCCTCTCCCGCTCTTTATTTCATGACGTGAGACTGGCATGATCTCGATCTGACCGACGTCCCCATCACCTTTCCCTCTCCTTCCCATTTAGCCGATCGCTCGCTCCTCATGCCCAAGCCCGCATATCGTATTCCACCTTAATAGAAGACTCAAACCACGGCCTGCGGACCTTCGCCCAGCCCGTTAATATCGATTCCATACGTGTTGCAGAAGAGGAAAAAAAGGGACTGTGTGCAGACGGGATGAAGCGGAGGAGGCAGAGTGGGAGACTAACAAAGCAAGCTGCTCTTCGTGGCTTACCTGATGCCCCTCCGCGGAACCTAGAAGAAAACAGAGCACCCTTTAACCCCCGAGATGGATGGAATACATCATTTGGCGGAGATCGTCCGAAGGGTAAAAGGCACAAGGCTTGGGCTGAGCAAGTCGAACGGCAGTAGGGTGTCATCAGCTCGTGTTGAATGTGACGGTCCAACTTGATAGCTAGAAGAAAACGGCCTTTCAGTATATTATATTTAACTATATAAGGACCTCGATGTCCCGCCTAGAAATCGAACCAATTATTCATCACCAGTCAAGCATATAAGAAGTCTACAACACACTCTCACTCAATCTTTCTTTCCCAACCCTTTTTTAACGAATTCCACCGACCATCATCATGAAGTTCGCCGCTACAATCACTGCTGTAATGGCCACCTTCGCTGCTGCCGAGCCTGCTTCCGACAGCAACCTGGTTGGCTGCCAACCCGGAACCTACCGGTGCGCTGGCACCACCGGCTGGGAGGTGTGCAACACCCGCGCCGTGTTTGTTGTAAGTCATCCATTCAACACCCAACAAACTTTACACATCAAACTACCCCAAAAAGAGATATCTAACAAAACAACTCTACACAGAACGGTGGAACTTGCCCTCCCGATACCGTTTGCAAGTTCTTTAAACCTAGCAAAAGCCCCTACTGCGTCCCCCCCAAGTTCGAATTCCCCTAGATGTAAAGTCATTCACTGGCCATCTTACAAACAAGGGGGCTGCGAACTTTCATTCTTTCTCTGCAGCTTCCACTCTCACGGAGCCCTTTCTTCCAGGCAAGGATCTTTTTCTGCTTCTTTACCACTCGTTCACTCTAAGTTTTAATCCTCACTTTTGATAGTCATGCGGTAGATGCATTATGGAGCAGTTGATACGACAGAGACAGGGAGAGGTTTTACGGGTACATGAGTTTTTTAATCATGTTTGCATGAGTTACGGTCCTTATTTACATTGTTTTACCATTTTATGAATCTCAAGGCTTAGGGATGCCACAATATTTAGATAGGTAGCATGAACAGACGTTGCAATCTACCGCTAATACTCCAGCAATCTTGGTCTCACATGGCAATGAGAATAGTGAAACTAACAGTAAGCTAACATGTTCATTCTGATCGGCACTTGATTAAAAAAGCCCTCCTAAAGGTGGCCGTGTTCGACCAATAACACCGGATAGCTTGACAGACATTTGAGGGAAGCCGTCACCACATGTAAGCAAGAGCACGGCTAAAAGAAGACGGTATGAAAGAGGCAGTAGAAGCCTATGGTTTGAACTCGTATCTCCAGGAGTACGTTCATACCAGGTCCTGATCTAATCCAAAGAGTTAAACAAAACGCCAACAATGACCCAGAGATGTGCAGTATGCCTAGTGATTAATCATCTAACATTCGCCCTTCCAGATCATGCTAACCCACTCAGACATCAGAGAGGTCAAAGGTCCCTCTCTGTATTGCTCAACATCAGCGCCGCTGGAGGTGAAGCCAGCAAAGCTGAGAGCTAGAATGAACCATGGTTGTGTGAAATCAAACAACACAATGAGTCAGTGTCCAGATCGCCCATCTCATGAAAGGCAATCTTGCCTTGAACACAGTTGGGCTGATCACTCGGCAGCTTCCGTCTTCACCGAGATGGTCCTTGGTAGTATAGCCAGCTGCGAGAACAGACCTTTTCTCAATAGTCCGAGGCTCAAGACAAGATTGTTCGGTATCTTCGGTGTCCTCGACAGCAACGGCTGGTTTAGGGAACAGTTGCTGAGGAAGATTCAAGAAACAGATGTCAAGATCATGCTCCTCAAAAATGATGCCACCACTGTTCAGAATATCAATGACCTTGGCAGCGGCCTCATACAGTGCATCTTCGATTATCGGAACCCACTCAGAAAGTGATTAATGGTATAAATACTGCCACGACTAAAAGGGCCCTTGAAGATATCGAATCGGATGCCACCAGTGTTTGTAATGGCAAGTCTAGGTTTATCCTCTCTGCCTTTATGTATGATGATTTCTGGGAAAACTCCATCAGTCACGGTATGTAGGTATAGGCATATGGAATTTGTATGGTCTACATACATCACCTTTTTTTTTTTTTTTGCGCAATGTTGACGTCGTATTCATGCTATAAAAGTGAATGACCCTGCCGTGCCCCCGAAGTGGTGGGGGTTTATAGAGGTAGGACGTCACTAAGATGCAATATGAAGCAGCTCACGTAAGATTTAAAAGCCATCCATTTATGTGAAGAAGTAACTTGACATTCACTATTGGCTAAGGTTTCGTATTCATGCTGCATATATAAACGATGTTACGGTGGCTTAAAGATGGTTTAAGGAGCCAACAAATACGAATCACACTAGAATGGCTGCAAGGCCATTATACAATCATATTTCTCCTGACTCACATTTATACTCTCCTAAGGCGGGCGGTTTTGCATATTGGTTCAGACGCAGATGTTCTTCGTTACTATGAGAAGACCTTACGCGCGTAACTTCCTGAGAAAAGATAAAAGAGCATTCTAGACTGGTTTTAGCATGATATAACTATAAGAACGACAGAAGGGAGGCGTAGAAAATATATTTAATGTTTGCTAAAACAAGCACTTTTTAGGTGGTTTTTTGCATTACTGAAACTTGAAAAGCCCCCTTCAACCTCCGCACACCACAGCTTTACAGATTAAATGGGTCCGACCAAATTACCTTCTCCAGTATTAATGCCCAAAACTCGCCGCGTTTCGGCTTCCGGACCAATGACAGACTTTAGATTTCTACCCTGTTTAGGTGCTTATATAGTAATATTGAGGCTTGGGATGACGGGTTGTTCAGAGAAAAAACGTTTTCTCTTTTTGAATACATTTCCCGAGCGCGACCCGGAGAATGCGGCGACCCGGCCAAGGTAGCGCTCTATAGTAATTTATATGGCAAGGTACAAAAGGCAGGGTTACTGATATAACAGGCGACCCGTCCAGGAGGCTGCTGACTAACGTTCAGGGTGGCGACCCAGTCAACATTTAAATTAATTATACATCAATTGATTTTGGACTGTAGGACTAGGGGAGGTACGTTGAGCCCTTGTGCTTGTGCTGCTGACAATGGAATTATTTAGAATGCAGTCACTAAATGACCGATAATATAGCAAGGCATTATACCCAGCCAGCCAGCCAGTGTAACTTAGCTTCATTCAGTCTCCAAGCTTCACGTCATCACCAGGAGTGAGTCCCTTCTAGAAGTCAAGGTTCGGCATCAGTCGAAACGATGATGAGCGCTAACTGTTTTTTAATGCCGAAAGCGCTGATTGCTCGGATGGTCGACTTGGGTAAGACGACGACGGGTTGGGAGACGGTGCCGATGGCAATCAGGGCGATGGGACTGATTGGAGTGAAGGGTGCTGGGGGCGAAGCGATGAGTCGCTTATCTTGGGGTATGTTAGCGACGGCTGAAGCGACGCGTGTGCAAGGACTGTTATATCTTTAACACGGTCGATGGTGTCTCTTAATTGGCGGTCTAAGACAGGCACCGCTGTGGTGGGGATTAAGAGCCTCGATAAACTTGTCCTATAGCCTGAGGTGAATGATGAGTTTAGAAACGACGGCAACGGGGCTTACCTGTTCGCCAGCCGCGTTATAATCTCCTTGATAATAACATTCTTAATCACCTTAAGCAATTCTTCACGAACTTGCCCCTCCTGGATAAAATTAACAACCCCCTCAACCCTATCTATATCTTTATGCAATTCTGAGAATAAGGAGTTATATATATTAGTGAACTCCTTATTCTTCGAATTAAGCGCCGCAAAAAGATGTTTTAGCGCGTCGTATTGCTCTTAGAGCTTATCTATGCCTTCGACTAGTTCCTTGTTTTGCTGTTTCAGCTTCTCGTTCTTAGTCTCTAAGGCTTCGACTCGGCTTTGCACTTCCTTGATAGCGCGGAGTTTGTCCCAGAGAAGGGTAATATCGTCGAATTTCGTTTTAGTATCTTGGCAAGGATGTTTTTCACTGGAAAGTTTAATTAAGTGAGGCAGAGGCGGTGGACGGGATGTGGTTTTATTGTATAATGGTGGTGCGGCTGTGTTGCCTAAGGGCTTAATAAGTTTACCTCTAATAGCGCTATATAAACTGGTGATATAGTATTAGGTGCTATGGGACTTAAAGAGACCTGAAATGGCTGTATTACTAATGTATTATAGCTTAGGAGGCGTGGTATAAATATTAATATAAACAGAGAAGGCAGTGGCCTTAGATAGATTATAGATAGTATTAAGGACTATGGCAGAGGATGTTTTAAATAGAGATAATAGCTTAATACCAGCAGTGTAGATAATAATAGTAAGAGTATACTTTAATAGAAAGTTAAGACTAAGAGTAATAGACTTAAATGCCTCCCCTATTACTATAGGAATAGTTAGATTCTTAATAATTATAAGAGAAATAATAAACAAAGTATAAACTTAAACTATGGCATTTATAATAATATCTAACCCCTTAAGCTTAATAGGCATACCTAGCTTAAAAAAAGTAGCCTCCCTATTAAACCTCGTATTAAGTGTAATAGCGCTCAATCTTAGATCTGGCTTTATTAAGAATTATATTATATTATCCTCCTGCCACCTTATAACAGCTTTCGCAGTATGATGTAAATCGAGCGATAGTTCTTTCAGGCATGTTAAGGACGATATTTCTACGATTAGTACATCCACCCGAGGGAACTTTCTAGACCAGCTCATGTCTAAAAGGAGGAACAGCTTCGCGTAGCCGGCAATCCGCAAAGCCTTTAGCAAACTGCGAGAACCAGGCAGATCACTTCTATAGTCCCTGGTTATTCAAGTAAAGGAGGCTTAATGCGCTTATTTAATAGGTGTGAGTTAGAATTTTATAATAATCTATAGCATGAGTTACTGCCTCTTTTTAGATATAGGTGCTTTTTTAAAGAATGAGTTAATAGGAGGAGGAATAAGAGAGGATTAAAGAGGGAAGGAGGATATTATAAGGTTAGAGGAAGATATCGTAAAGAGTTAATGGATTAACGTCGTGTTAGGTGCGGAGATGGAAGGGAAGGGAATTAAGATGGCTGGTGCTGAGAGACGCAATTTCGAAGGAAGAATTATGTATCCATATACCGGGTATAACTTCGAGAGTAAGTCGCCCTGGGGTATTAGAAATGCTGGTCGCTAGTCACGCGAATTCTTTTGTCACCTATTTGCATCAATTAGTTATTGCTTCGCGACATGTATTATATCGATAACAATAAGATAAAGCTGAAACCCCAGAGTCTGTACTAGCACCTAACTGATATCTCTACAAATAGGTAATATTAGTCTTAGAGTTTATGCGTTTTAAAAATATAAGAATTGCCAGACATATAAACAGGGTATAATTACTTATTTGCCAGGTGTCTTATGACCCTTATGATGGGTCTGTTTGGAGTAGCGCTGTTAGGTAACACGAAGTACTATACCAATACACTTAACAGATAATAACGTCCCCCAGTGTCGATAATGGACTGGTATTACAGCGAAGACATCTGGACTCCTAGACTCTGTCTGATCTTCGCGCTTCTCGCTACTATGAGCGTCGACTATCTCCTCGTCGTAATAGACTGGTCCGGTATCGATTATGCTTAGATTATCGTCTTCCTGACTAGAGGTTATAGGAAGTTCCCGAAAGGCATTGTATCAGGTCCGAATTTCCCAGTATCGGCTAGCAAATGGAAATGTAACGCTTAACGGCCTTCTATTTATTCTCTGACCGCCCTTACGGTCGTTCATTCTAACCCTCGTAATATAACAGAAACGCAGATTTGAGACTAAAAAATGTATTTTCAACGTATCCAGGCATACAGGTACCCAATTAAGCTATACGAAACCAGAAGTTCGTGCTGTTGTCTGGGATTTCTAAGTGCTGATTCCCCCCTGGAGTATCGGCCCTTCGCATGGTACGTCAATGCGAGGTCCGCCATGCTCCTGATCGTATCGGGGTGCTTCTCCACAAGCACCTCTCGTCAGAGATCTAAGACTTTGACCGAAATCTCTCATCACATCTTGTCTCGCTCAACTAGGCCTTTAATTCTTCAACTCCAATACAACGTCAACTTGCGTCGACTTGTGTTCGACGTACTCTCTATTATCAGCTTCCGCCAGTCCTAGAGGCAAGGAAAGTAAATCCCGTTATATGGAAGGTTGAAATGTTTTGTTTCCCTTTACGAATTATATAAACGACAAGTTGTAACCTGCTACTCAGACTGACAACACTTCCGTAAGATATCAGTTGTCTTAAATAATCGCCTACTTTAACCAGACAAGTAACCACCTTCCAAACCTCCTAATATTCTCGACGCGCCTAGAACCATCGGCCATCTCACCGGCGGCGACCAATGTCAGCTGTCCTCGCCGGGGGACCGAGTCGGCCGTCATTGGCTGAGGCCTTTCAAGTCGGTTATCCGATACCCTTCTCCTCCACTTGCGGGGGTCCCAACCCCAGAATTTGATTTGATACATGGTTGATATCATAGCCATCAGAAGGATCTGAAAAGAATCTGTCAGCATTGCGTCAAAGAGGAACTGATGCTAACTGGGAAGGAGACAACCCACGGCGATGTAGCACCCGAAGAAGTCTTTAATGTTTACAGGGCTGATAAAGGTCCTCCACCCGTTGAAGATGACGAAGAGGCTGCATGCGAGTACCGCATAGTATGCCCGGAGGCACTGGCCGTGTGACCTGTATGGATATCGCGGATTGCTGCGGTCGTAGAGCTGCCTGACTAATGGATTATAGATGTCGACCACTTCCATGGTCTGACCGGCTGCGGCACCTTCCACACTAATATCGTATTTAGAAAGCGCGCTGCTTGGAAACTTTCAGTTGTACTCACCTCTTGTAGAACTCGATGAAACTTGCTGCCACGAGCCCATACGTAATCATCATGGAGACAACACAACACCGAACCATCCGACCTAGAATCTTCTGCGAATCCGGGTTACAAGCTAGGAATCCCATGAGTCCAAAGCACGCACTGAGAACCACGGCTGCATGGGGCACCCCATAGTTCGTCCGTTCGAGCCTCCGACGAAGAGCCTGTACGGGTCCCCAATTCGGCCAAACCTCATGGATGCTGGCCAGCGCATGCAGCGTCCGCGACGCGTTGTACAGTCCATTGGCCCCCGCCGTGGTGGCTGAAAAAATGATGAAGTCGTTGACGATGTACGGCCAGACCCTCAGTCGGTTAATTACTGGAGAGGCGACAAAGGCTGAGTTTTGGCCGAAGCCAAAGGAGATGACGGCGTTGTCCACGATGGTGGGATACGTGTACGGGACGTTAAGACCGACGGTGAAGGTCGCGAGCGTGTAGAGGGTTATAATGCGGAGGCTGATTTTGCGGGTGCCAATCTTCACGGTTTCTTCCGTTCGAAGATCCTTGTTCTCAGCTGCTGTGATAGCAATGGTTTCAAAGCCGATCATGCCGAAGAGGCAGGTCGTCATAGCTTCCCAAACACCGAGGAGGCGGCCGGCATCTCCCTGGACTACATTCTTGTTTGGGAGGGTCATATTTCGGGCAGCGAACGAGTAGGGCTCATTGTAGGTCCAGAAGGCTCCACGCTTGACAGGCTGTTGAATATGGATAATGACGTTGAAAAGGATAAGGGTGATGATGAAGAGCATCTTGATAGTGCCGAAGATGTACTCCAGTCGGCCAAACCACCGTACTGGGAGCATGTTGAAAGTCAACATGATGAGAAAGAAGCAAAGGACGTAGACCGCGGGTGACGCGCTGGGATAGAATTCGAGTGTGGGATCAGGGTATCTGGCTGCTTGGAGGAGCTCTTGAGGATATCGGAACTGGAAAATGTGAGTTATAGCCACAAGCTCGGCGGCTACAAGCACAATCCAGGAAAACCTGTCATTGGCGTCATTGTTTGAGGGTTACTTCACCAATGCCTAAGGTGACTTGTATGAATTTATCAACTTACCATGTCATCCACCCCGCAGTATATCCCAGAGACTCGTCCAGAAATCGACGAGGAAATTCGATGATGGGGCCCTTGACGGGAAACAGGGCTGTCATCTCGCCAAGGCATGCAGCACATGACCACAGAACGGTCCCAGTGACAATGTACGCGATGGCACCAAGGCCTGGTCCGGCGAGGTATATGACCCTGCCGGCCTGGAGGAAGAGCCCGATGCCGACACACTGCGAGAAGGCCATCATGTTTACATGCCGCTCCGTCAGTTCGGCGCTGAGTTGAAAGGATCAGACTTGGAGACAACGGGGGTTAGTAGATGTCAGGAGACCAACCTCAACTGATTCCCCGGCTGGATGGCAGCATTTCCACCATCCTCGAGTGAGTAGGGTTGACTATAGGGTCCTAATCGCTCAGGAGTTCGTAGTAAGGTGATGGTGTGTCCACCGTGACTCTGGCTCACATTGTCTTGTTCGGGAGACGCGGGATGAATCGACGGCGGATAGGTGGATGGAGGATAAGATGGAGTGCCCGGTGATACCAAACTGGACATGGCAATCCCGACGGGCCTTCTTGAGATGATGTTTTGGGAAGGAAATTCCTTGGCACTACCGACTTGTTCCATTTTTGTTTGGTTGTGCAAAACAAATATACAAAATAAAAAGCTAAAAGAAGGACTGCAAAATGCTGCTAGTCAACTTCGAGTCGAGATGGGCCGGCATGGAAGAGAGGAGTACCCAGACACCAGTCGGTGAGCTCTTGGGTGATGTCCTTGGGATCCTGTTCTTATTATCCGGCGTCGGCACATGGGGGCTTTGAATGCCGCCCCAGTGTTTCCAGCTAGGGGACTAAGTTTGGATTGCTATGCATCCAGACCAGGCTCAACTGGTTGCTCAGCCCACAGTGACTAGCGGCACATGAGGCTGCGCAGCGAGCGGCGTGCACACCAGCGGGCCAGTTATGTGATGGAAGTCTCAGCCTGTTAAAAATAGCCCAAGCCATTTCGGCCTTTGGCGCCGATGGCTTGGGGCTGCGCTTGAAAAAGCAGAGGTTTTAACCCGCCCTACTCGACGAGAAAGGGTGGCTTAATACGTGGTATAAGCGCTAATTTAGAGCCTTTTACAGCTGGCTGATCTATCAGATGTACATAACGTGGTAACTTTCCTGGCAGGAAAAGCAATGTAGGACTACAAAGCTTTAGGAATGGACATCTGTGCAGATTGCATATTACAGATTTGCTCTTTTGTCATCTCACCTCCAAATCATAAACTACTAATTACGTAGTGCCGGAGAGCCCCCACCCGGCGGCAGAAGGTCAAGTCCCCTTTCCTGGCATTTGGGAACACTGTCAAATGGGTAGGTTCCCGTCCGTGGACCGCCCCTCTTGCATCTGGCCCAGCAAATGTTGCACCGTTTCTTGCAGCCGAAGCAAAGGGCAAAGGGCAGAGAGCAGACCATGTCCAGACATGGGCCAGTACCGGTGGCAGCTTTCGAAAGCGGGCCCATTCCCTTCTGGTCTGAGGCGTTCCTCATGGTCGACTGCCCCTACCTCCACTTGATTGAGCCTGGGTGGCCGCCGTTGACCAAGTTGACCCAGTCCCCTTCAGATGTAGGCCAGCTCGTCCAGGTTCCTTCGATATGCGATTCCATCAGTTTCGCTCTGCACTGGAACTCTGGCAATTGTGTCCTTCTCAGCTGACCCCTCTTGCCGCCAGTCTAGTCTCTTCAACTTCGCCGTCGAGAATATCGCTCTCTGCCCAAAGTGCGGTTCGCGAATCCATACCGTCCGCAGGCTACCACTATCACTCGATTCGAGGAGCGGGCAACCGACCCCCCCAGAACTTCCTCATCCTCACATTCCCGAGCTCCCTGCCGAAGTCCCAGTCGGTACTCACTCGACGCTTTCTCCCTCGCGCTCTTCTCCAGGCGCCAAAACGACCAGACTATCCCCCCGCTCGTTTGATCTGAGATCCGAGTCTGAGCCGCCGATACCACCTCATACCTCGAGACAGGTTCTGACGCCACAAACAGAATCCTCGCTGCCTATTCCCGTCGACCCGACCATAGCAAACTACGCGCCGTGTTATGTCCGTCGACCCGACAATGATGTGCCTCTCTCATCCGACCGCGATTTCAACAGTTCTGCTGTACAGGTCTCGCCAAGATCGCATCGGTGGTCGTTTCTTACACGATTCAAAAGACCGAAGCCTGACGCCGCGTCGTCAATCGTCTCGATGGGCAACAGCGGTGATATCAGATATCTTTCCTTTTGCTTCTCCTCCGACGGGGTATCTATCCTCCTCTGGGAAAAAAACAGCCTCGCCATAGCTCGCCTCAATGCCCAAGGCGACAGCGGAAGGCTCATTGACCTCATCCCCATTCTCCGCCAAGGAGAAGGCGGACAAGCAACCCCCGGAAGCACGCTCTTTGTGGCCGAGGGTTGCGGAATGATAGCTGCCATCGTATCGCAGGGCGCCACGGGCAAGTTCCTAGTCGTATTGGACCATTTAGGGCTGGCTGAGAGATCGGCAGTGCTGCCACTTCAGGACATGACGCCGCTGTGCTTGGCAATTTCTCGATGCAACTCGTTTGTTGCTGTTGGCCTTGCAGCACGGGTTCTGCTTGTTCGCCTGTCGGAGCACAAGGTGGACTTCGACTGGGCCGTCACCATCTCGATTCGCGGACCCAGCTCTTTTGATGGCATGACTGTTGCGTCGGAAGCCTGTAATTTCACGGCCGATGGGAGATATCTTATAGTTGCGACCCAAATGAGGGACAAGCATCAGTCGAGCGAGGATGGAAGTATTCACACGGCCCTTTGGACTTGCGAAAGAGAGGCGAAGGGTCCGTTCCGACTACCCTGTTGCAAAATGCCAAACGTAAGCCTACGCTGCCCCTGGCCCGAAGAATAGTTACGCTGACGAATAGGCGGCAGGATGACCAAGGTCTCACCTCAATCCAATTCCACCACGGCCTCCAAGTCGCCGCGATAACGGGCCTAACATCGGCACGATACCCCCTGTTCCTCTCCCTCGACCCCCAGCAACCCGTCACCATACCAGCCCAAGTCACAGATTTCCGGATACGGTGTTCATGCATGGCCCCTCCCCCGCAAGATCACCTCATGTACTTCCTCGACGCTAGCAACCGCGTTTGCGAAGCAGACCTGCACCATCGTCATGTCGAACTCGTTGCGGATATAACCACGTACAGGGGATCCTTGCGTTCACACGATGAGCCGGCCGCTATAGCAGTTGGGCCGGGCGGCATTGTGGAGGTGTTTTGGCGCCAGGGGCCGGGGTTGTGGAGATTGCAATTCAGGCCTGGCGAGGAGGCTATTTTAATAGATAATTTAAGGAGGCGCTGGGATGAGACGATTTAATTAGGTGCAGTACATCCCGTCTTAAAAGTCTCTGTACGCCCCCAGGGCGGATTATCAACCACGTAACTTCAATCATAGATTTCTCAAACGAATGAAGGTCAATTTCTCCGCAAAAAATGATACCATAATAACCCCCCAGTTGTGGAGTTCAATAGTGTGTATACCAACCCCTACTACAATGATTGCAGTGAACATTGCAACGCAATACACACATCATGGCCCACGAAATGCGTTGTAATACATCCTTTTTATCCGTGCACGCTCTGGTAGTTCGCAGAACTATTAACATTACCCTATTAACAATTTAGCTACTGGTTTATCTCTTAAGAGCTTATAAGCCTCGCGTGCCCCGCCCCGCCCTATTCCTGTTAATATAATAAATAGTCTAAGCAGGGTATTAATAGCTATAACTTCTAATATTTTAAAGCTAAACTACTAAATAACTTATTATAGATTAATTAATAAATATATTTATAGTCCCTAATTAAAAATAAAAGTAAATTTATATAATACTAAAAGCTTTTATAAGTAATATAATATTATAACCCTAGTAGTTTTATTATAATATTTAATATTTTCTTCTAATTATTATATATTATATAAAACCCCCTATTTATATTACTTATATAATAATATTTAATTAATTTATTAAATTTATTATATATTATTTCTTATAACTTATTTAATTCCTTTTATCCTAAGTATTATTTAACTATATTTATCCTTAACTTATATTTCTCTTACTGCATTATCTTATAACCTAATCTAATCTATTACTAACCTGCTAAGCTAGCCTCAGCCTACTAATATTTATAATTTTTCCCTAAATACTAAAACCTTCTTTTCTTAATTTACCTTTTCCCCCCTTTATTGCCCCTCCTTTACCCTATAATAGCCCTTAATTCCTATAATATAATATTTATACTATTAATTTAATTAACTAAATTATATACTTTAATTTTATAAACTATGCCTAGTATAGGCTATAAGTTGCCGCCGCCTAATATAATACTATTAATAAAGGCCTACTATTACCTTAATATACCTTAACCCTATTCTAAGTAATTAGCTAGGTCTTCTAATACCTCTATTTAGCCTATAATATATTTAATAAGAGATATATCTTTCTTAATACTAAGGAGCTATATTTAATAATCAAAGATTATTAAATTAACTTATTATATTAATAGTAATTTATTAATATATAATAAGTATTTTCTTGTAATTTTATAATACTATAGAAAGGAATATAAAATAAAGATATACTTAAACTTAAGCCTATTAATATCTATTAAAGGATTAATTATATAATTATTAATTACTAAGATTAAATAGCTATAGCTAGGTTAACTATTATTAATAATATTTATATAATAGTATATCTTATAATAAAAGTTAAGGTTCTTAGCTTATTTTAATATAGCCTTTTAGTATTAAAGCCTTAATAGTAATTACCTTAATAAGGTAATAATAAAGAGGGTATTTAGCCTTCTAAGAATAAGGAAAATATCTTCTTTATACTTATAGATTAAGGCTACTTATTTAATTAAATCTTAAGGTTTAAGGTAGTAGTTATATAATCTACTAAGACTTAATATTAAGATTATTATATTTTTTAATATAATATATAATACCTTATCCCCTGTTTATATTAATAGTGCACTGATGTTTGGCTAATCCATTGAATCTGTCACGTGCTGTGTCCCGTGACCCATTTGACCCTCTTTACGCCGCCGACGCCGACGTCAGTTACGACTTCAGGTCTTTGACTTTAGGCAACTGAACTTATAAAAAACTCAATACATTTTCTTCCCAAACCCCACGATTACCCCTCTTCCATCCATAGCAGATCACGCGGTATGCCGTCCCCCTTGCCTTCATCGAGGCTTAGTCTTCTCCAGTACCTTCTTGGCCTGCCACCGGATGGCCTCGAGCCACTTATCGTGCAAGCCGCCTAGGCGAAGGGCCTTGACGAATTCCCTTTCCCTCCGGCTTAGATTTACCCCTCTAAGTAACTTCCCTTCTAGCTTATAAAGCAGCTCTATCTTGCAATTAAGAAAGCCTTTATTAATTAGCTAATAGTAAGGCCATATAAGCAGGAGGATCTTATAACTAAAGATTACTAATCTAATATAGCTAGTATTATCCTCTTTTTCCTAGTTTATTCTAATTTCTATTACTATATTATAAAGCTTATTATAATTATCTTAATAGCTTACTTAATTTTATAGGTTATATTATAGCCTTTTATTAGATAAGGCTTATTAGGATTAGGTAGTTATAGGCTTCTTCTGATAGGCATTGTGGCAGTGAAGCTATAATGCTATTAGCGGTTATAATTATAAGGTATATAAAGGGGAAGTCAGATCAGATTACTTACTAGGCAGTAGATAATTTAAGCGTGGTATCTGCAGGGGTCGGCGATAAAGTGGCCTTTGAAGTGGATTGCAGGAAGAAGATTAGGGCCAGCTGAAGAGCAAGTAAGGCCCTCTAGCTAGGTTATATGCAGCTAGGTTTAGGCTATAATTAAGGCAGCTAATTATAATAATATTAACTTAATAAAGCTTTGCTTACTAAGGGGTAATAAATATTTAAATTTTATTAGACTTTAGAGATGCTTAGATATACCTTTTAAGGCTAACTTATAAACTTAAAAAAAAAATATAATACCTTATATTATATTATATTAAAAATAAATATCTTATTTTATTATCTTACTTTAATACCTTTAGCTTTACTTTATATATTACTAGATAGGCATTTTAACTTTAAAAAAAAAATCCTTTTATATTATTTATACTAATAATATTTAACTTTAGGTAATTATATTTATATAAGATTTAATATATTATCCTTCTTATTTTTATTAAAGCTTAGTGTTTTTTAATACCTTCTTAGTTTACTATTAAATAGCCTTAAGCTACTTATTATATAAGCTATTATAAAGGGCCTTAATAAATGCCCTCCTAGTTTTCCATGCCATCTATCAATCTGACGACTTTAAGTTAGTCCTACCCAAACACGAACAAGGCGCCGGGCATATGGCCCAAGGCTACGCCAGAGCATCCGGAAAGCCCGGCGTCCTGCTTGTCACATCGGGACCTGGAGTCACCAACATGGTGACTCCGATGCAAGACGCGCTATCCGACGGCACGCCGCTAGTGGTGTTCTGTGGGCAGGTCCTGACGACGGCTCTTGGGAGTGATGCTCTCCAGGAAGCTGACACGATTGACATTTCGCGGGCTTGCACTAAGTGGAACGTTATGGTTAGGCATATCGACGAGTTGCCGCAGCGTATCAATGAGGCGTTTGAGGTTGCGACAACGGGGAGGCCGGGCCCTGTTCTTGTCGATCTGCCACAGGATGTTACTGTCGACATCTTACGAAGACCGGTCGCTGCGAGGGCTCATCTGCCGTCCCGCTCGATCCGTTATCAGATGGCGGCCGAAACTAGGGATCGCCAGCTTGAGGCCGACCTGAGGCGCTTCGCCCGTCTGATTAATATCTCTCGCCAGCCAGTCATCTATGCCGGGCAAGACGTTGTTCTTTCAAAAGATGGTCCACAGCTTCTGAAGCAGCTAGCCGACCGCTGTTCCATCCATGTCACAACAACACTACAAGGCCTCGGTGCATTCGATGAAATTGACGATAAAGCGCTTCACATGCTTGGGCTGCATGTCACGGCGTACGCAAACATGTCTATGGAGGAAGCCGGCCTAATCTTGGCTCTCGATGCGCGTTTCGATGACCGAGTGACTATGAATGTGTCCAGATTTGCTCCTGCCACGTACGCAGCTGGGAAGGAGGGAAGAGGAGGGATAGTGCACTTTGAAATAGTTCCGAAAAACATCAACAAGGTTGTTCAAGCTATAGAAGCTATAGAAGGCGACGTTGCAGCCAATCTGAAGCGGCTGTTGCCTTTACTCAAGCCATGTGCTCCTTGGGGCGAGAAGCGCAGAGACTGGCTACGTAAAAATGACGAGTGGAAGAAGATATGGCCTCTATCCAGCTTCGACCGCTCATCTCGTCAGGGACTTATCCAGCCGCAGGTTGTCATCGAGGAGCTGGACAATCTCATGGCAGATTGGAAGGACAACACGTACATTACCACCGGCGTTGGCCAACATTAAATGTGGGCGGCACACCATATTACCTGGCGCAAACCTCGCTCTATGATAACCTCTGGCGGACTCGGCACCATGGAATACGGACTTCCCGCAGCCATTGGCGCCAAGATGGCGCACCTAGACGCTTTAATTATCGATATTGTCGAGGATGCCTCGTTTAGTATGACTTTGTCCGAGTTATCTACTGCGGCACAGTTCAATGTCGGCGTCAAGGTGTTGTTACTTAACACCGAAGAGCAGGGCATGGTCACACAGCTATAAAATATCTACTAGTAGGACCGCTATGCGTATATGCACCAGGTTAACCCGGACTTTGTGGCGCTCTCCGAGGCGATGCATGTGCAAGCCCGGTGGGTGTCAGATCCAAAGGAATTAGCAGAGAGCCTGAAGTGGCTTGTTCATTCGCAGGGACCAGCGCTTCTAGAAGTTATTACGGACAAGAAAGTTTCCGTGCTTCCCACGGTGCGGTCAGGGTGTGGACTTGACGAGTTGATTGCGTATGATGAAGGTAAGAGGATCCGTCTATGTAGCTACGACCCCAACTGACATTTCTTTTTTAGAACAGGAGAAACAAAGACGGGAGCTTATTCGAGAGCGGACTAATGGTATACATGGCTAATTCTCATCGCCTAATGGTGTTCAGTAAATAGAAAGGAAAGATGAGGTATTAAAGAGGCTATATAGTAATAGTACGTATCATACTACGCTTGCATATTTATCATTGCGATTCTGCTACCCCAAGAATTTGAGATCTTGCAATAAAAAAACTTCGGACAACAGATGAGTGTAAATATGTAGCTAGCGCATCATCCGGAGGCCGCAGAGCACCACTCGACTTTGTAACAGAGCGTCAAGATACCGAATCGCATCCTGTGCAGTGGTATACGATTAGGCCAAAGAGGTTTCAATGGGATCCGGGAATATAAGCAACATTCTCATTCTTAATTAGACCTGGGCCCGATGGAGTGTCGACGTAGACCGTGACATTGTCGATACCTATGATTTACGTGTCTGAGTCGTCAAATTGCTTCGAAGTAGTTGCGCAGCAAGAAACAGTCCCAATTCTTTTGAAGCAAGAGGGCACGCTGATAAAGCGACTTTAACAGCGTGCAGAGCCTCAAGCCTGGTCTCCGTTGGCAAGGAGGATAATCTCGTAGTTGCATCTCTTCCACACCAAAGCGATGCATCTGGGAGGCGTGGGATACTGAGCCTGAAGGTCATTACTCTGCTTCGAAGGAGTCATCACATTTCATCTTCAACGCAGCTACAAGTCGTGAAAGCTACTGGTGAGGATGCGACGAATGATGCCATCCAGCAGTCTCTTTTCCACTTTTACTTTGAACTGCAGGATATCAGCCTCCAGGTTTCCTGCCTTAATCGTCATCACCGATCAAGAGGTACTCTGAAATACGTGAGGGATGTGGAGAAAATATCTAAAAGTTTGGAGCAACAGTTGCAGTATTTATGGGAAGGTCGGCCTCTATTCGTCGACGTCGTGATGGATGAAACAAGCTGGGGAGCTGGTGATAGTGCCAAGCTGAAGCTCGTGGCTTGTCTCTGTCGAATATGCTATCAGGCCGAACTGATCTCCCACGCGCGTGCCTACGGTAGATCTCAACCTATTTCTCTCCCAATCTCCAATGCACGGGTAGCCATTAGGCAAGGCATTGAGCAGGTTAGCTAGGAGGTAGCACTTCATCCGGCTTTTATGTGGCCACTATTCATGTACGCTGTCGAAACTACTGATGGCGCAGAGTTAGATTGGGCGCTAGAAACTTTGAATAGTATATCGGATTCCTGGTGGAATTCTAGAGTCCTCACAGATCTTGCAACTGGCGTGGGCAAAGAGCAATTGAAGAGGAGAAAGAGGGTGTCGATTCACGGTATTTCTGTTTGGAAAGGTTTGGGACTGTGCCTCCATATATGTAAATCCACTATATGATTAGTCCTAAAATACACGGTTTACCAAGATTTCATCCAATGTGTCACGTTCAAGCCATCAGGTAAACCCTCGCTTCGTAAGGTCCAAGTACCGACTTTGCAACAGCGCCAGCGTAGTTGGTCATTAAAGGCTGCATCGACCCAAGTGGACCTCCCTCAACTTTCGGAAGAGCAACTTCCGATTGAGACAGGTTTGCAACCGTCATTGCCATAGCACCAGTCTTCGGGTCTGTTTTTATGAAAGCCAGTAAATCCTGATGGTCATTCACAGGAGTAAATGTTCCATATACAAAGAGTGACGAATATTTCCTTCGAAGCTTCAGTATTTCTCGCCAATGCTCGAGAACAGTGTTTTTGTTTCCAAGTCGAGTAGAGACATTTATCTCGCGATAGTTATCAAGAACAGTCATCCACGGTACTGCACCACTATTGGTGAACCTGTGTTGGGCGTGTTATCCCATTGCATGGGAACTCAGGCATGATCTCTCGCGACACGCTGTAAATCCTTAATGGCTTCTTCGATGGCAGCAGGATTGTGGTTCGTGCAGTCACGAATGTATTGGATTTAGTTAACGGATCGCACGCACTTGTATTCATTTGCTGACCAGGACTCGGGTCCGTTGATCATGCCAATCTCCTGGCCTTGATACAGAAACAGTGTCCCTGTCATAGTTGCAAGAAGTGTTGCCAGCATTTTGGCGACTCGTTCTCTGAACTCTGGTAGATCTGATTCGAAACGAGACACCGATCTACCTTGGTGGTGATTCTCGAGGAAGACGGTTGTCCAAGCCCCTGTTGTCTCTGGAAGTTTCTGCCACTTGGTCAAGCAACGCTCGAAGTTGTTGTTGTCGAACGGAATGGGTAGAAACCAATTACCTGGTGTCTGGCCTAGGTTTACTGTGTCGAAGTTGAAGACCATATCAATCTCCTGAGAACCAGGCTCGGATTTAGGTGAGATTTACTTCCACACGTCCTCCAGGTCTGGCGTGTTAGGCAGTTCTCCCACAGTCATGATATCATAGGGCCATGACTTGTTTCATTTCGCAGAGATATTCGTGGATACGAGGACCATTCGCATAATGAAAAACAGCTATTTGCGTCTCTTGATCCGGCTCGACGATCGGGGCATCTGGTAGACCAGATACTTTAGAGAACTTGTTGACTGTATCAACTCGAAATCCGTCTACTCCACGGTCGAGCCAGAACTTGATAGCGTTGTCGTAGATTTCGCGGCGACAGGCTTTGTTCTCCCAGTTTAGATCTGGCTGCCCAGAAGCATAAACATGGATATAATATTCTTGAGTCGTGTCGTCGAACATCCAGGCAGGTTTTGTGAACTGACTTCGCCAGTTATTAGGTCTGCACTTATTGCCGTTTCCATCGACCTTTGACTGCCTTCAGAAGTACCAATCTCGCTTTGGGTTCGTAAGAGAGGATCGTGAGTCAATAAACCAAGGGTGTTGATTGGAGGTGTGATTGATAACCAAGTCGAAGATGACTCGCATTCCTCTGTCATGAATCTGTTGTATAAGGCGCTGGCAATCTTCGAGAGCTCCATAGGGCTCATGGATATCTTGGAAGTCAGATATATCATAGCCCATATCGACCTGGGGACTTTTGTAGTGTGGCGAAACCCAGATAATGTCGACGCCGAGGTCTTGGATATAGTCAAGCTTGGAGATAATACCGGGAATATCGCCAATGCCATCACCATTGGTGTCTTTGAAGGATGCAGGGTAGATTTGGTAGACGACACCTTGCTTCCACCAAATTGGCTCGTGGTGATAAGCGTTTTTAGTCATTGTGACGTACAATGAAATGGCTTGGTAGCACATGACTTAGGGTCACGTTGTTTGACTGGGCATTGTTTACTTTATGTATGCTGGTTTGTTCGATATTATATGGCGTTATCATAATGCCATTATGACAGTGCATCCGAGCGAGGCGACAGTCCATTGCCACAAATCACACCATCGCTAGCAATCTACCCAATGAAGAGTTCAAACGAAGACTCTGTCCAGCCAAGCGACGAGCGGCAAAAGGGTTTCCTCAGAGTATCATCCGTTGCTCGCTTAGATCGCTTAATGGTCCCAAGAATTTCCAGTTATAGTTAAGCATAATCGTCAGCTGGGCTTGTTCGGCTTAGCCCTCGTAATTAACCTTTCCCCAGACCCTATGGGGATTCCCAACTACGCTGATCGGCTAGGGCTGACAACGTTGCTATGAGTATGATTGTCCTTTTATAAAAACCTCGAGATACACCTTGAAGGATTTTTATTCACAACAATACAGATACTGTTAGTCTACCTCCACAAAGCCTGTCTACTCGATCAACTCGATTAACCACGATGACCTTCATCAAGCTCAACTCGCAGCTGAGGAAGAACGTGGCACTACGTTTCTTAAATCGGTCAAACAGCATCGAGCTGCCGTAGCTTGGTCCGTCCTCCTCTCGACTGCAATCATCATAGAGGGATACTACATGGAACTCATTGGATCCCTCAATGCCCAGCCAGCTTTTATGAAGCGATATGGAAATCAGCTTCCGAGTAGTGACTATCAGATCACGGCTGCATAGCAAGTTAGGTTGTCCAATGGTGCCTCGGTTGGATCTCGTATTGGGCTGTACTTGAACGGCCATGTCTCAGAGCGTCTGGGTTTCAAGAAGGCGATGCTACTCTCTATTTCTCTTTTTACAGCAGCTGTTTTCATTACATTCTTTTCCCCCAGTGTCGAAGTCCTCTTGGTTGGACAGATATGCCAGGGTATTCCTTGGGGTGTCTTTCAGACTTTGACGACAGCTTATACTGCCGAGGTCTGCCCTGTTCACCTTCGTGGGTATCTCACAGCCTATGTGAATCTATGCTGGGTATGTGGTCATTGACCCTTGGACTATTTAGAATTGCTAATAATATGGGGACAGGTCATCGGACAGTTTCTGTCTGCTGGAGTGTTACGCGCAATGGCCGATCGAACCGACGAGTGGGCATACAGGATTCCTTTCGCCATTCAGTGGATCTGGTTAGTTTCTCTTATTATCGCCATATCGTTTGTACCTGAATCCCCTTGGTGGTGCGTTCGCAAGGGGTGCATTGTCGATGCAGAAGGCAACCTCGGTCGTCTTGTCGATTCTCGAACCACTTCGGCCAAAAGCCTTGATAATATGGTGAAACAGATGGAAGTTACCGTAACCCTAACGTGACCCAAGAACTAGAAGCCAGGACAGGACAGCATTACCTTGACTGCTTCCGTGCTGTTAACCGCCGTCGAACCATAATTGCATACTGTACCTGGGGAATCCAAATCTTATCTGGCACTGGATTGCGAACATGAGCAACATACTTCTACCACCAAGCAGGACTTCCAACTACTCAAGCCTTCAACATGAGTCTCATCTAATATGCTCTTGGGATTATTGGAGTGTGGGTTTCGTGGTTGATGTTTCCATATTTGGGACAACGAACCATGTATGTCTGGGGACTGGCTGGTCTTGAGATTAGTCTCTTAGTCATGGGAGGACTCGGCACGAGACCAAAGACTTCTGCTATGGGCTGGACTATCGGAAGTATGCTCATTCTGTATGCGTTTGTGTATAACGTCACTGTTGGCCCTATTTGTTATGCTCTTATGTCGGAGGTTCCTGCGTCCAAGCTTCGAAGCAAGACAGTTATCCTAGTAGGAATGACGTACAACATTCTCAACATTATCGGCAATGTCATCACACGTTACATGCTCAACCCGGGTGCTCGGGCTTAGGTAGCCAAGACAGATTTCTTCTTCGCTGGGACTTGTATCCTGTCTTTTTTCTTTACGGTGTGCTGTATCCCGGAAATGAAAGATTATACCTATGCGGAGCTGAATATTCTGTTTCAGAGATGTATAAAGACTTAGAAGTTCGCTGAGGCCAAGCTCACTTTGGATGCTGAGGGCCAGGTTAAATAGCATTACCAGAATTAAGAATTTAATATGTAACTAACACTTAAGTGTATTAACATATATAATATTATAGGCTAAGTTATATAGAATTTAAAGTAATAAATAATTTAATAAGCTCTAACGATCAAGTAGAAAATCCGCCAAGTCCAAGGTGTGTGCAGGCCGCAGTGAGACCCAGATCCCTGTGCGAATCCTTGCAAATATCACACCGCATGCCCTGGCGGAGTCGCCTATGCCATGACCTTAGATTGGTACACATAGGATATCGACAAGTCGCTGCGGAGAGCTTACCCCCGTCTGCCGGGAAATTATCATGTTTATAACCAGGCCCACATACTGCTACTTTAATAGAAAGAAGACGACCTCGGTACCCAGACGGAGATTGGCAAGCTGCGGAAAGTCTCGAAGCTTGTGCCTCACGGAAGACGAGTTCAAGTTCAGCATTAGGGAAAATTGCGGCCACGGAGCGAGCCAGCAGCTCAGAAGGCGTTGAGGGCAAGGAGCGCGTAGAGGATTATCGCAGCAAGTATTTAGATAAATAATTGACTTTCTTCCAGGAATAAATCGCACATTTAACCCATCATCACTGCTCCGTATTGCGGTGAAAAAGAAAAAAGCATCTAGCACTTGACAGGAAGCGCCTTCTCGCTCGTCGCTTTCTTAGCCAAAGCAACCTCCGCGTTACGCCGACGGACAAGGCCTGGGAGCTTCCTCCCGCCTGCATAAACCCACTTGGGCAGCTCCTGAGAAATCACAGTGTTGGGCTTCTCACCCTTATTGAGACGCTTGAGGAGCTGCGACCCCTCGGCGGCACCGCAACCAAGGTTGAAGGACCAACTAACCAGGGCCCCGAATTGGTTCTTGTTGAGGGTGACTTTGCTGCTGACCATTTTGGCGATGCATTTCTCGAATTTCTATCATGATGTTAGGACCAGTTGTCTGAGATGTAAAGATGGAAATGAAGATAAACTTACTCTCATGTCATCCGCGAGAAGCTTCTTGCCGTTGGCCTTTGAAAGGGGAATTGCATATTTAACATCAGTGCACTTGGAGTTCGAGCAGAGATGGCCGTAGCCTACGGTAGGATAACCAGCAGCGTCCTTGTCTATCGTAACTGGTTAGTATGCCTTACAGTCCCAAGAGCAAGACATCACTGACAGATATGGGGAACGAAACCCTCAAACTCGCCAATCAGGTCCACGGTAGCCTGGTTAGACGATGGCGCAGAGCAACCTCCGCCGCACTTGGGCTTGATGTATCCATTAGAGCCTGTCTTGACGTAGTAGTCCGAGACATAGCAGCCATCTGAGATTTTATCCCAGATGGTATTCCCGCTGATGTTGGTGCCCTCGGTCTGGCAGGTGATTTTAACGTCGGTGCCCTTCTTCAATACCTTCTTGACCGCATAGCTGGTGCCTGGGCCAGAGCGGCACTTAACGTCGTTGCCGGTGATGGGGTATGCGGCTGCAAGGGAGGCCGTGAGGGTAGAAAGGGCAAAGAGAGCGAACTTCATGGCGAGTAATGTTCTGTAGAGGGGAAGTTGAAGAGGGTTGAAGGAGGTTGATGAGTATTGGTTCAAGCTTAAGAAGGTTGTATATGCCCTTTATGTACCCAAGTCTTAACGCTGTGTGATAGGATAAGGCAGACATGAACAACCAGCCCTCATTTCCATCTGCATGCTGAAATTACCGGTCATCCTTCCATAAGATGCCTTCCTCTTTGAGTTGCTGAAGAACATGATAGCCAGCGTTCTAGACTCTTTCTTGCATAATAAGACGGGAAAACTAGTATGCCGATTTATAAACTTGGTCTTGCCCTATGCCGTTCGACTAGATTAGGAAGCTACTCAATTGCCTCAACGGGATCGCGGTTGTGGGTATTGGTGAAACACCTCGGAGATTGACCCTGAGTAGGAAAGGCTTGGAACTTTGTTCCTGTGCGGACAGAAGCTGAATGAAGATCCATCGCTATTCTAAACAGCATGTACATGGGAGCCAATAGGCTCACAGGGCCACGTGAATATAAAACCCATGAAATGCGTCCGTAACCTTGCGGAAATTTCCGCCAGGCATAAAAAGTCTCGCTCTGGATGTGGGGAGATGATCGATTGAGGCGCTTATCTGCAAGGGATAATTAGCTCTGTGACATGGTGAAGGGGCTGATCCTTGAGTTTGGCCATACTAGTTGTTTACTGAATGCTACGTCAAGCCCGGTAGTTAAGTTCCAAAGGCATGATTGGTCACGTCACATTGCGGCTAATACGGTTATTCAGGGCTGAGGCAGGGGCCAGTATAAAACTCCTGGGCTGAGAGTTGCGCATAAATGAGACATTATAATACTACCCTGAAGGACCTTAGCCTTGGGCCTGAAGAAGATAATGGAAATCAACTGCAGAGGAAATGAAAATGATTTGATGCCGAAACAGGTATGCCCTGAGCAGTTTAAGCTACAGGGATCTTTTACCAGTCACAGCCACGTATAATGTATTCTAAGTATTTTGACCATTTAAAATCTGAATCCTATCAAACTTCCTCCGTTGCTGCACCGTTTCACATCACCGTGGTAACTAATCCGTACGCGCATGTGTCTCTAGCTGCTCTTATGCGCAGAGTTCATTAAGGGCTTGAGGTCTGGGCTGGGGCTGTTAGAGTTTTTTTTATGTAGAGCAGGGTTGGTGCTCTGCAAGGCCCAGGGCAAAGAGGCTAAATGCAGTTATAGGGCTTGGAGCGGTTTACGGAAGTCATTATTAGAAGAGGCACGGTCGTTTTGGCAGAGCTTTGCACTAGATTTGGGCGATGGTGGTTTTAGGGTCGGCGCTCTTGAGGGATTCGTAGGACCATATGCACTTGCCGGCCTTCACATAGCTCATGGTGTGTCTTCCTTGAGGGGGATCGATGAGCTTCCTCGGGTAGACAGTAATGCCTATACCGGGGCCGATGGCATTCCATTACCATCTGTCATGTGTAAGCTGCTTCGTCATACCCATAGGATCAGCCTAAGTCATGCCTTCATTAGTGCTTTCGGCGAGAAAAGTGTAACGTCTTCCTTGCAAAAGAAATTTTGATCTTCTTTATCTTCTTCCCACTCGGGAAGCATTACCGTCGTTTGGCTATAGGCGCTGTGGTTCCACTTCAGGAACAGTTAGATGGTGCTTTCGTTAGCCATGGGCGTGAGGTTTCCCGAAGTGCCATCTCCCTTTCTGACCATCTCTCAGAGGGCATCCCAGTGGATGGGGCTCTCATTGTGGCTGTTGGTGATCTTGGTATGCTTGTAGAATAGCTTGAAGTCCCCATAGTCTTAATTCTTGTGCGGCTGACCCTCGGAAAATGCGAGGATGCGGCGTGTAGTCGTAGTAACTACAGCGGGGATCCAAACGAATGGAAACCAACCCCACTTGGGAGCTTGTCCGTGTTGCCCATGTTGGAGCTGCGGAAAAGGGTGAAGTTTTTATGGTAGGGTATTTGATTCTTGGCTAGGTCATTGATGTGGGCAAAGACGGTGTAAGACGTAAGCAGCACCAAGCGCAAAAGTCTGCTGGAGCCGTTGAAACTGAATATTGCTTTTGCCATAATGATGAAATTGCACTTCCCACTTGACGAGAATCATCATGAGCAGTGGATATTGTTAGTTACATGGATATAGGATATTATAAATGAATGGAATGGACAATAGAATCCTTAGAACCTTCTTATTAAAGAATTCGGGTAAATACTGACAACTGATTGACTTAAGAATATACTGCCGACAACACTAACAGGTTTGAAGAGATTAACCGTATGCTCAAGAATACTCCTTGAATAGAGAACACCGCAATTCTTGTCATATCCCGTTGATCACATGGAGATCAGTTGAATGACATCCTTCCAAATGCTAAGTGGTCACGCTCAGATTAACTAATATACGTCCTTCCCAATGTAGACAAGGCTGTGCAGATGATCATGACCCCTGTTTTTCGTTTTATCCACTGGAATAATATGCCGCGATTATCCTGCACGGTGAAACAGTTAAAGAGGAAAGTGGTCCTATACTTATTCAGGATACCTCCGCGGCAGCTGAAAAAGAGCTAATACAGAGTCGGCAAGAGCTGTTTCTAAAGCCTTGGGCACTGCCGCATTGTGGAATACTAGGGATGCCGTCTTTGGCCCAGAACCCTTTCGAGGAGGTCCTTCAATTTCAATATGCAGGCCGCCAGAAAACTTCTAATAAATGTTAATTGAATGGAACAATGAATTCCTCCGTCTTACAGACAGGGGTTCTCAATCTGTCTGTCTTTCTTTTCATTTCGATCGTCAGTTGTTTGTGGTTGTATTTTCCTTCAGCTGAAGAGGTGATTGGTTTGGCTCTCATTTCTATAAATTGGAGCAATCGTCAAGATCACATTCGGTCTCAATGCCATCAGCAGTCATTCCTTGAATACCTCTGAAAATGAAGTTTACAATTTTGTGCGCCTATGCGCTCGCATTCTTTTCCACTGGAGTTCATTCCTACCCCGTGACCAGCGACAACCTGAACTGCCGTTCCGGTCCAGGCACGGCCTTCGCAATTAAGAAATCTTACAAAAAGGGCCAGGACGTTACCATTACCTGCCAAACTCAGGGGGACAACGTCGAGGGAAATTCCATTTGGGATAAGACGTCTGACGGCTGCTATGTTGCCGACAAATACGTCAAAACCGGAAAGGACGGCTACGTCAAGGGCAAATGCACCAATGTCCCCAAGCCCCCCAAGAATAAGAAAATCCCAGGCCCTAGGGTCAACGACTATCCCTACAAGAACAGCTGCGGCCCAGCGGACAAATGGCTATACTTCAAGTGCCAATGCACCAGCTTCGTGGCATGGCGTGTGAATGAGCGCCTGGGCATTAAGTTCCACAACAAGTACAAAGGGAAGGCATGGGGTAATGGTAATCAGTGGGATGAGGCTGCCAGAGCGAGTGGTGTGAGGGTTGATAACAAGCCTGTCCCTGGCTGTATTGCTCAGACAAATGCCGGGAAATCCGGACATGTTGCTTGGGTTTCTGCTGTCGATGGGGATATGGTTTTTGTTGAAGAGTATAACTGGAACAATTACAGGGCTTATGGAACGCGGAAGGTCCACAAGAGCAAGTTTAATTACATCCATCTAAAGGTCTAAGGCTTCTGGTTGATGTCTTGAGCAATGAAGAGAGACATAGGGTTGAGAGAAGTGAAACTGGGATGTCAGGAATTCCAGGGTCGATATTATTATTCTAAGACAGATGTTAAGTTTTAAAATGTATTATAACATTTAATTAAAGGGAAGTGAAAGATTAAAGTAAGCCCGTGGTAGAGATCTAGTAAACTCTTTAGTTATAAGAATAGGTATAAAGGAATATATAAATCTGCAGGCACTATATTAAAAAAATAGTATTTAAGACTAAATTTAAATTATTTAAAAATCTAGTAATAACTTTTAGTCTCATTGATATAGTAGTAATATTCTAATAAATAATTAATAATATAATATATATAATAAATAAGTAAGATAGACAAGTAAGCAAGACACCACACTTTTTACTTTAAAGGTATATTTCTAAAAGCATATAAAAAGCTTAATTTAGGCTTAAAATAGCTAGAATTAAGATATAACTTATTTAACTAACGTAGTTAATAAGCATGCGTCGCAGATAAGTATGCATTACACCTTCCTTAACCTTTTCAACCTATAGCTCGAAAGCTCAAGCTGCAGTTTAAAAAGGCTAGCTTTTATATATTAAATTCCTCCCTAGATAACTTAAGAACTACCTGATAAGTTCTTGCATTATACCTGCCCTTACCGCATATACTATAGCGCTGACTACCTGGTTACTTTAATCTTCCTTAACTACTACTTCTTAATAATTTAGCTATTACCTGTATATTAATATCTATCTGATTAATTACTTATAATACTTCCTATATAGTTATAATCCCTCCTTTTTATAATTTAGTCCTTTTTACCTTATAGTATTAACTTAGTATTTTATTTATATCTTAAAGATTATAAAGCTTAGCCCTTAATAAGATAACCTTATATATAACTGCCTTTATTACCTTAGTAGCTAACTTTAAAGCTTTAATAATAGACTCTAAGGAGCTATTATAATACCTTCTGATTTGCCTTTTAAGGTATTTAGATTAAGATTAGGCCTTAATTATTATCTTTAGGGTCTTTAAAGCCTATAGTATTAATAGTTAAGTAGCCTCCCTGGGAGGCATTAAGGTCTATAGCTGCATATTAAGCTTTAAGATTATAGTTTCTAGGTTAAGAGGAGTAAGCCTAGCTCCTTTAAAACCCTCTTAGATATTACTTTTTATAAAGGTAGCTCTAAATATAATATAAAAGGCAAAAAAGAACTTAGTCTTAGAAATATAAGTTATAGAGTATCTAATTAGATACTTTATTTCTTAACTATAAGCCTATTTTAGTAGCCTAAAGTATTTAATATTAAGAGGCTAAAGTAAATAAGATATATAAGTAGGCATATAAAGTATAATAATCTTATTCTCCTTATAATATCTCTTAAAATCGGCTAAGTAGTAGCTTTTATAACTATTAAGGATTAGGAGATAATAGGGACTAGTTAATTAGTTAGTTATAAACTAATTAAAGTACTTTAGCCACTTAAGACCTAGCTTATTATTTATCTACCTATTTTGGCTTATTATAATAACCTAATTGCCTAAGAGGTTATATTCTTAATACTAATTAGTAAGGTAATATTAGCCTATATTAATAATAAATAGCATAATTAATTAACCTTTTATATTAATTGCCTAGATTATAATAATTTATTCCTGGTTTCTAGGCTATACTAATTTTAGCCTTCCTTATATTTTTAAACCTATAATAATTATTCTGGCTATAATAAGGCCTATTATAAAGTTAGTCTTATTAAAGTTTTAGATATTATCTAATTAGATACTATACTTTGTAATTATATTCTATATAAGCCTAAACTAATTGCAAATAATAATTAAATCTTTATATTTAGCTCTCTAATAGTTATATTTATAAAATAAATATATCTTTAGCTCTAGTTATTACTTTATAAAGTTATAAGCCTAGTACTTACCGATAAGTAATATATTATAGTTAATAAGCAGAGAATTAGTTATTTCTTTTATAAAATGCAGTTATAAGGGAAATCCTTAGGAATCTAGGTTAAGGACGAATTAGATTATTATCTATTCCTCTAGATTAGATAATTTCTATGACTTTGGGATCTAATTGTGTTATAATTAAATGCTATTATAGCAGTGATGTAATTTATACTTAGAGATCTTATAGTTCTTTATAGTATATTAGATATTAAGTTTTAGATTATTTTAAAGGGCTTAAAGTATAAGAAGGGTTTTAGCTTTATCTGAAGGTTATGCTATTTTTGGTTATTAAGAATTATCTAATTAGATAAAAAAGTTAAATATAGGAGGGAAAAATGCGATGCATGCTTGTCTGCGATGTATGCTTATTAACTACGTTATATAATAATTATAATAGACTTTTTTTAAGATTTTTTACTATTTTATTTTATATAATACTAATTAAAAATAAACCTTATATTATATAATTAAGGTTTTTTATATAAAATAAAATAAATAAAAATCTTAAAAAAATAATTTAATAAGATTAACTATATTATTTTTAAATATAATTTTTTTTTTAAATCTTTAACTAATTTATTAAAGTTTTAGAATACCATAGGGTAAGCTACTTTTAGCTGCATAGTATGTTATCTCGCTTGCATGTTTATTTTGTTTACTTATTATATATGTTATTCTGATAATATCCTAACATCTTTATAATATATTACTTTAAGAATTACTGACTTGAGTTAAAGGTTGCCATATAAACGGTGAAATAATATTATTGCAATTCGAGGTCATGCCAGAAAGAATGCAACGTCAGCAGCAGAAAGGTATAGTAGTGGTAATACATATTAGCCACTTTACAGTGACATTGCCACGTCATCATGCACTTTGCTTTTAGGCAGCCATGCATAACATTTAGCTACAGTCTTTATTCATATTGCATTCAGGTTTAAATAAGCATATTTCAATTTTTGTCAACCGGGAATAAATGATCTCCTTTTGTTATAAACTGTCGGGATACTCGCAATACTTGTCATCCTCCATACGACTGATCCAATTTGGCCTTAATGCACCCTCTGAACCAGGGATACAAGAACTTGTGCTAATTTACTGGCCTACCCGAGATGACAGGAATCAACTTTCGGACAAACAGGGACTGGATGGCCCTGTACAAACAAGATCTGGCAGAAAAGGCTATCTCAGAAACAAGCACGCTCGAAGAAATTGCATGCTATCTCTTCGTTAACCGCGAACAACCCGACCCTCATCAGCTATTGATATTAGCCATAGAAAAAGTGGATAAGGCTGTTCTGAATGCTCTAGTCCATAATATTAATTTCAAAATTGATATCAATCAGCGCGATGCTGAGCGACGAACAGCACTGACACAGGCTATGAAATCTGGCAACCAGGAAATAGTTGAATATCTCCTGGAGATCGAAGGGATCGACGTAAATGGCCCAGGGCAAAATGAGGATTTTCCGATTACTTACGCAATTCGCAACAATATCGACTCGGGCAGAGATGGCTCTCATTTTGGTAGCCAGCCAAAAAAAAGCTAATACCGTTATTACTCAAGAAGTTAAAAGAATCAGACGTTGAGCGGATCGAATCTGCCAGCCAAAGCCCATTCCTTGTGGCGTTGAATTGCGAAAATTCCATACCTCTGGTAGACCTCTTGAACCTCTTGAAACATCTGTTGGACTCAGCGAAATTCAATCCAAACATCCTGGACGGGGATTCAAGATCTCCGCTTTCACTTGCTGCGCAGAAATTCGATCCAACGGTGCTGTCAGCTTTGTTGAAGAGTCCTAAAGTCAAGGCCTGCTCTCAAGATAAGGAAGCCCGAACGCCACTAATCTGGAGCATCTTTGGCAATAGGAGTGAGAGCATGAAACTTCTTTTAGAAGAAGACGACTCTGGAGTAACTACCCCTGATATAGAGGGACGAACGCTACTTTCATACGCCTCAGAGAAATGCAATCTTGGCATGGTGAAGTCTTTATTATATAAATGTAGCGGAAACGCGGACCAGCCTGATCGTAATGGGCGAACTCCGTTATCTTGGGCAGTTCAAAGAAAGCCAGCGACAGTTCCCGTTTCTTTTAGAACAAATTCGACGTTTTCGCATCTTTCAACCACGTCGAGGGGCATTAGGACAACTCCGGAGTCTCAGAATAAGGAGATCGTTGAGTACTTGATCAATACTGGACACGCGGACCCTCACTTCAAAGACAACAACAAGAGAACTCCATTTTCATGGGCAGTTGAGACTGAAAATCTGGATACTATTAAATACCTGGCAGACCATCCAAAAGTCGACATTAATGATCCTGATAAAGATCGGCGAACACCTTTATCATGGAGTGCAGGACAAGGACCTATCACAGTAGTCGAATACTTACTGTCAATTGATAGTATAGATGTCATGCTTAAAGGCAATCAGGGGAAAAGTCCGATTTTCTGGGCCACCCGGCCAAACAACAAGCGGATGATCGAACTGTTCAGAAAAAGGGGCATTAAAGCCTTACACACTATGGTCACGAAAAGAGATGATCTTGAGAAAGTGAAACTTCTTCTTGAGGCTGGATACGATGCCTCTAGAGTGGACGCTCAAGGTTGCACGCCAATGCGTCGCGCTGTTAAAGCTGGAAATTTGGAATCTGCGAAACTGCTTATCCATGAATGCCCGCAGTCCGTGAACGAGAAAGATATGGACGACCGATGACCACTTCAACTCGCCGTCGGAATTAACCCTCATATGTTGAAGTTGCTCGTTGAAAGCTCAGCAGTAACAGATAAAATCAAGCAACATGAGTGGTTTAGTGGAAATCATGAGGTCTCGCATGATATTTTGTGTTTGTCTCGCATAGGCAACAATCAGTACCTGGAGTTCCTGTCGAAAGATCGGCTTTTAGAAGACTTTGCTCGGCATATGAGTCTTATCGAGCCAGGGATGCGTTTATTGTGAGTTAGCGATCATGATTCGTTTTAGTCTATGACAGTTGGGCTAATGTTTCATCGTAATAAGCCTTAGTAAAGACTCGCCTCCTTTATGGACAAGAACGAGCTGTTTTGGCTTCAACCCGGACAAATATGATGCTAGGCTTTATGTAAAAGTAGCCCCTCATGGTCCACCGCACAACGGCTCTGCCAAGATACTTGTCGACATGTCCACCTCATTCCCACGTTTACTCTTGCAGTACTTGGGATCACCAAAACGCTTGGATATGGAAGAGGTTATCTCAGGCGTAGCAATTGAATGCTTACGATCGGCAAACATTTCTGAGGATGAGCCGGCAAGCTTTTTCAGTACACTTCCAAAAAGCATCATCCCGCGCGATGTCATCCACTTTATCTTACAGTTCATAGATACGCTGGAGAAGCGATGGGACCACCTGCTCAAGGCAGTTGAAGACTACCCACGTACGTTTGTAAGTATACTTGGCCAGACAAGAAAATCACCCATGTACCCTTGCAAAGATTGACGTAATATTAATTCCATTATGTAGCAAGGTCTTCATCACAATCATAGCCCAAATGATGTTTCAGAGTCAGATCCATTGGCCGATAGCGAATGGAATGAGACCCTAGCAAAGGAGCCTCGGAACCAGTTGACCGACAATGAAAGAATCGACGAGCTATTAAAGGGGTTTAAGAAATTAAACCGAGTCAAGCATATCCTCAAAAACCATATTAAAAGCGCTCGGACACTTTTGGACGACTATTACAAGCACAAGATTAAGGGCAATAGTCATAACCAAGTTCTAAATACTATCCAGCAGCTTGAAAAACAAGGAAATAGTATAATTAACCGATCTGAACAACGTTTGAGAGATTTACTAAACTTTATATTTCTAAATGACTCCCATATAAAGATCAATCTGGCTAACAATCTCCAGGTATACGTCCAAGTATTAATTGATGAAGTGCGCCAATCTACCGATATTGCAAGAAGCATGAGATGCCTTTCTTGGATAACTATATACAGCACCTCTTACGCAGCTCCCGGTCCTGCTAACTATTTTAGTTTCTATTTCTTCCAGTTATATATGCTTCTATTAGTGTCTTCCTACCCCTTGGCCAAGTTATTCTTAAGTTAAACTATTTTGCTAACTACAACATATATTTATAAGGGTATTTTTAGAATAAATGTCAACATTTTAAAGGATAATGCTGACTGGAGATGGTTTGTTTTAACGGCAGGAGTCTTGGTTAGCATAACTATAGGTATTTAGTTTCTCCTCTCTCGTAATCTGGTACCCAACCCCACATCTTAACTTAACTCCCCTGTCTAACATATCCAAGGTTAATAAGAAGGTCTTGAAACACAGGTCCAGCCGCCTCTAAGATACTGAAAAGGGAGTTAATACTTATTGTCTTTGTATTACTTTTTCTATCTGCTTTAGTAAGCTCTATGATCCATACTAGCTATTAAGTTAAAAATTAAATTATAATTATTAACATTTCTTAATATAGGCTATTTTTAATAGTTATCTTTTAGATAAGTAGTAATATCCTCTATAAAATATTTTTAATAAACTCAGAAGGATTTTATCTTATTGCTAAAGGCTGCTAATAATTCTTAACTCTTAATTATAGTATCTGCCTCTCGTGTTTTCCAAGCTTTATATACAAACTTACTTACCAATATCTACAGTATGTTATAAAACTGCACTTAAATAAATATTTTTCTTATCAGTTCAAGCCCTTAATATTTTACATAATGTAACAGCAGTCTGCAGAACTATAAGAGTCTCTCTTACCAAGTAAGTATACACGCTTAGCTTTCTTCTCTTAGCTCTTAACTACCAAATTCTAAGCTTAGGTAAGCAATTCAGCTTTAAGCTTTCCTCCAAGGCCTTATGACCATGCTTAGTGCTATAATCTGTTAGTTTTTATATTATTAGTTGCTCTTATCCTACTTTTATATATAGCTAGGTAAATACTTTAAGATATTGCCAGGCGGGAAGTTAGCTAATAAGCTTATATCTGGCATTTTAATTACTAATTAGTAGTATATAAAGGCGAAATTAGTAAATTAAAGAGGTTAACTTAAAGCTTCTGTAGTAAATGGACTGTTGTACTGATAATATTTCCGCTCAGGCCCGATTGGGGCAGAGTTGGATAATCGCCGTCTCAACCCAGTAGATTATGCAACCTAGGCAGCAGCTATACTTCTTTTGGGCTACTACTTCATGGCAAAAGAGATAGATATACTGACTTAATTTAGAGTTCCATGCCCATGCAAGCAGTGTTGGCTCGGACTTTCGGATTAACAAAGCCCTTTATGGATGCCACCTGCATGCTTGCATAGAAACCTTCCCTTTTCTTTAGAAGGTATATAAGAGGAGTATTTTAATTAGCCACTGCTACCAGAGCCCATCTTAGAGCGCCTACTAGCCTCTAACAGTAATAGGATTTATTCCAAATACCTTATTATCTTCTTAAGCTATTTATAAAGTTCCTTTTATTTATTATAACAAAGTCTCTTCCTAAACTTAGCCTAGCACTTACTTTACTTATTAATCTGGTATTATATAAATCTAAGCATGTCCACATCTATAATCTTGATCCTGTACTTCGCATTAGCTCCGCAATTTAATCCAGCAACTACTAGATCCAACCAGTCCCGGTCATCCGAAGTAATCTGCCAGTATCCCTTTGTGTTCCTCGCCCATGATCTCATGGCTTCAGTACCTCCTGAGGTTGAGAGTACTTGTCAATCTTTGGCTTCTTCCTGTCGTGCGAATAGCAGAAGTCACTATAGTAACCACCGGTTTTAAATCGTCCTCCAGCGTCGTTACGAGCTCTTGCTCTTTTTTCGATCTTGGGTCCCCCGATATCTTCGATACCACTATGAACCTGAATGGTGACATAGCCTCCGTTATAGCGCTTAAGGACTAAGTATTTATGCACTATAGGAATTAAATTAGGAAATGTTTTATATTATAGAGAGTGTATTTTAAGCTTACTTTTAGTAAAGTTTATGCCATAAGCCTCAGCAAGTTCGAGATCCTATGCATGGGGCGTCTTGCAAGTTGTTTCTTTACTATTAACGGACTTTTATGTAGGTTTGTCGAATTATTCCGCGAGTATCTAGTTATTTCTCGCGATGTCATGCTACGTTGTAGTTAACTGCATTCCAAGTTTCAACTAGTAAGAATGTAATAACCAGTTCCTGAAGCTAAGCTGCCATAAACCCTAAGCCCGGTAAATTAAGCTTAATTTCAGTGATACAGAAGCCCCAAAGTTTAGCGGTATAAGTAGGAAGACTTAAATGGGGCCTAGTACTAGAGGTCGTTTAAGGTCAACTTAGAACTATGTGAGATAGATTGTGAAGTGACTAGATTAATTCAATTATAGTATAAAAACTAAAGATATATACATAATAGTAATCCAACTTTCCTTGCTATAAGATAAGTTAACTGATTATCAAAAGAATAAAAGGCTTTAAGTAGTCAGAGTCCTGTCCCCAACCCTACGAAATATTGCTAGATTTCCGTCTATGGCTATTTGCATGCTGCACATGCCCATTCTCCAACAGGAGGCATGCCAGCAAGCCCAGTTGCAAAAGAAATAATGCTCTGGAGATTGTCATCGCAGAAGGACCCGCAAATTCCCGCACTAGGACACGAGACAGTCCAATGGATCCTTGCCTGTGTAGATGCCTTATCCCTCTTTCCATCAGGAAGCACACTTACTAACACAGTTCCAGTCACGGGGTACGTGTACTCCAGGTACTCAAACTCATAATCGGGTTCGCACATCCCCTCGTTTTGGCAACTGCCGCTGTATCGGCCCGTCTTGGTCACACTTGTCTTCGCAACCGCAGGTGCCACGGCTTCGATCAGAGTCTGTTTCATGCTAGGGACATTCTCACGCGCCGAGAAAAAGCAATCATCGAATGTAATACTGCAGTCATTACCAATGCTGTAAGACGTTCCTCTGCACTGAAGACCCTCATCGTCCTCATTAATGTGGCTGAAAGCAGCCTCGGGCGTCCAGTCTGCGACCTCAGAATTGGTGCCCTGCACGCGCACCTGGATCTCCTCTTTGGACATGCCATAGTCGGTTACCACTTGGAAGTCAGTGGCAGGCGCGGTGGCAGGCGCGGGTGGCGGGTTATCTGGCTGATGGAAGCAAATGTAGGCGCTGGTACAAGCTGTTCCATCCGGAAGGTCGAAAGCCGGCTTGCCATGCTCGGCCCAGCACTTAAATTCGTTTCCAAATGTGTGCTTTGCATCGCCTGCATAGCTCTTGGACTCTTCCCAGTCTTTGATAGCTGGATTGATTGCGACCTGGAAAGTGTCGCCGTTGGAGAATGTGGTGGCAACGCCACTTGATCTCCATGGGTACGAACCGTCCCAAGGCACGTTTGCAATCATGTCTGGCTGTACCCATTTGGTGTCACCGCCACCTGGGTTGTAAGACCCAGCATAGTATGCCATCGCATTTGACTTGGCGGTACCATCAGCTCCGACACCGCAGTCCACGAGCATCAGGTGCTCGTCCGGTCGGTAGTCTCGTGAATTGATGGTTGCGGCTCGAGAGCCTGAGAGTAGGAGGAAGATGATGGTTTTGATTGAAATCATTGTTGTTCAAGTGAAGCCGGAGGCTCTCGTGTGACAAGATAGAGTATTAGATGCAAGAATTGCTTGAATTGTAAGTTGCAAGTGTGCTTGTTGAGAATACTTTTCTTCGACAACAACTCAGATATATATACTGTATTTGATCTTCTGTTCAGCGTTAGTCCTCCCAATGGAGCCTGAGCTCTGAAGTCCAATAACAAGCCAGAATCGTATTCTCTTGATGATGTAGCATGGGGGCCTTTGGCGTTGAACCTGGCTCTGCCCTGAAATTCTCCAGACTAGGGTTAGCGTTACCAACTCCCGCTTACTTCTGCTCCACAGCCCCATTTACTTCATTTCCCTTCAGCATTAGTCTTCAGGGTATACCAGCGGTATCTTCTATCCGGCATATTCTTTGGTCCTGAAAGCCGAGAGTCTAACACGTAGCAATACCAAAGTGCCGTCAAGAGTGGGTCTGACACCTGAACCCCTGAACATATCTCGGCTTCGCCGTCTTCGCCGTCTTCTCCGAACTTATGATTCGTCAGAAAGAGCCCGATGACAATACGAAGGCTGAAGCAGTTTAAGCTTATTTTAAGCAATGGGTTTGTTAAGTTAGCGGTGCATAAGCTGGCGCGAGCTAATACACTTGTAACACTCATTGACATTATCCTGCAATTATCCAAGTAAACGCGGACACGCTGCTGTCTCCGTTTTAGGCGCACCGCCCATTCGGGCAAGGTGCGCCCGTCGCTCATCCACGCGACGCTGTCTCACGTGATTTTGTGTATATAAGAAAGCCACCACCTTCGACACCATGAACATGTATTTTTGAATTCTAGTCCTTTTACTCTCCATCTGTTTCGTATATGCTGTCGTAATCCTTTCTCAAGGATCGGCGATGCACAGTCTTCTCCCAACCCTATGGACTGCAACGTCAGTACCAAGAATTGGTGTCGTTCTTGTCCATGTTGACTGAGCAGAGTGGTGCCCATGTTGTTCTTGACTCGATACACAGAAGATGCAGCAGGCATCATCATCCTCTACATATCTCCTACGGTATATTTTTAATCATTAATCTCTCCCGATTGTGTTCTTCTGACTTTCCTTCCCCTCGTCCTACAAGACCTGCTCTCGCTTGGAGTTGAGGAACCTGTCTCCAGCTGGTGTCAGTCCGCGGAAATAATTAATCTGACCCGCTGAACTGTTTCCCTCCTAAGAAGTTAAAGAATGTGTGTTATTGAGGCTCAGCTTCTCAAACAACGAGACTATTACCACAAACAGAAGGAGGTTCAATGCTTATCTCAGTCAGAATAGTAAGCTCTATGCGACACGACTATGCTTGTCATCCAAGAATAAGAGGAAAAGCAGCAGCAGGGAAATATGCAGGGCCAAAAATACTGCGAACATATTGGACTGCTTAGTCTTGTGCACTCTACACTTGATAGCAGTATATTAGAACGTCGGACGTGGCGGCTCATGTAATATAGTGTTAAGACCTTGGGTTTACATGTACTTGTTTTAAAAGGATGTTTTCTTGCTTTCTTGCTTTCTTTTCTTTTTTCTTTCTTAGCTATGTTTCTATACTTACTTAAATTAAACCCACTATTAGGGCCTCTCAGAGTCTTCTTAGTACTTCTATCCCACTCTTGTTAACGGTCTAGGCTACGCTACTACCAAAGCCCAGTACATGACCATTCCCATCTTCAGTATCACTTTCATTGTCACTACAATTACTGGTTACCTCGCCAATAAGAACCACCTATGTAGTGCCATCCTGTGCAGCTAGATGACTGTCGCTATACTTTGCGCTATCATTATCTGCATTATGTACGACTTCAAGGACCAATACACTCTACTTGTCATTATGGCTTCTGCACTTTAGGCTTCTAACGGTCTGTCCTTGTCTTATGCTTCGACCACCTTCAGTGCCATGCCCAAGGAGACCCACGCTATTTCTTTGGCATTCGTCAACGCTATGGGTAACTTGGCGCAGATCTATGGAGCTTACCTCTTCCCTGCTGCGGACAAGCCCAAGTATCTCAAGGGATTCAGTGTTATCAGTAGATTGTGCTTCACTGGTGCTATTTCATATATCGCTTTGCACATCCTGCTCAGGAGACTTAAGCAGATCTAGATTATTTGTCGGCTATGACATCTTATTACAATAGTGATAGGTTATCTGTAAGGGAGCTTGCCTGGCAGAAAACTCAATAGTGTTGACTACTGTAGTACTTCAATACATACACATAATTCAGTACATGATATGGCTTTTATATGGTTCCTAGAATTGTTTTAATAATACCGTATCAATTGAGAATATTCCTGACGAATCGTGGATCAACTGTTTGGTTTGGTTTATGGACGCGGTCCTAAACTGGCTGTGCTAACTGCCTTACGCTTAAAGGGGACTGGGGATTGAGGTTATCACGTGCCTATTTACTTGAGCTTATTTTAGGGGCCCCGCTGCTGATAAGGGGCTTTTTAGGTCAACACTGTACAATGCTAATATATCAGCTAATAACCTCGCCCAAAGACCATGATCAAACTCTTCTTACACCGATCTACCTCGATCAGTTATTATGAATATTCTGATTCTAAATTCAATGTCAGGCGGCACACGTTGCCGTACACGCGTCCGCTGGGTTGGCCTTGGTATTGTTCTGGGGCTACTCTTAGTGCATGTTTTACTTCTCGCAGCTACTACGGTCATGCTTTTCTTAATAACCAATCGGTCGTTTCTGGGTAATTCGTGGCGTGCCGTTGCGAAAATCTTCACGTCTGATACGGAGGGGATTTTGGCATATGCATCGGATATGAGCGACAGGCATGTTAAAACGCATCTAGATTCCCAGGGGAAGGGGAAGATCATATTTCAGATAAAGTATTAGGACATTGTCTTAGAATAAATACTACTTTATGTAAAACGCACCTCTTAATTCTTGCCGCAGTACTTTCTGAGGGAGCCTATCTCACGTGTTGTTCGGGTATTTTCCGCCGCAGCCTCTGTCATTGAGGAACCCGCTCGCCAGGTAGGAATCAGAACTGATGGATATCCAGGCCGTTGCATCCCCCTTCATGGACCATATACTCAGTTCAGGGAACCCGAAGCCAGCCTGACGGGCAATCTACAAGGTCGCGTTAGCTGTTATCTAATCCTGGGGAACAATTACTCGCTCTCAGCGCACAGTTAGTCCATCTGGATTATGCATACTATCACTTTAGCGACACAGTAGACACAATTATCATATAGTAATACTTCTTTATTACTTATGCTATTTTATAGTTTTTTTCTTTTTTTTTTCCCCTTTACTTTTTCTCTTGCCTTTTCTTTTTCTTTTATACTTTTTTCTTCTTTTTTCCCCCTTTTGCTCTTTTATGTATTTTTTTCTTTATTTTCTCCTTTCTCTGTTTCCCTTCTTGCTCACGTCATGTCTTGTGCCTTGTAGCATCTGTATCCTTCTGCGTTCATCTCGACCATATGTTATGCCTATAGCATATCAATCCTCCTTCATTCATGCTTCAACCAAGTAGTATTGAAGACTCTGTTACCTCGCACCTTGGGTAAATAGTACCTTAGTTGAAGGGTGGGTAGGGTCCCGTACACGGCAGATAATTGACAACCCGATACATCCACTCTTCCTATTCGGGCTGGCATCGGGGGCAAGAACGCCAATGGACCCATCTCTAGGAGTTGTAGATCCTGGTCGACGGGCCGTCACAGGTGCGGCGGTATTGGCGACATCGTTCCATCGACTCGACAGGGGGTTCCACGTCGCGGTGGCAGCGGTTGCAGCGGATTCGGTTACGGGTAATCCAACACATGCTGGGCGTAGGTAAAGATCACTAGTAAGGATCGATGGTAATAGAGGTCAGTTTTGTGTAGAGGTTTTAGTAAGGTAGTGAGTTGGGTAGACTGTTTTAGAAGGTAGAGTGTGAGGTGTAGAGGTTGAGGTAAGAGTAGTGACTGGGTTGTAGGAAAGAAGAAAGGATGGGAGTTTTGGAAGGAAGCGGAGAAGTAAGTAGGAAAGGAGAGTGGTTGCGACTGCGACTGGAATATCAGTCGCAGTCGCTGGCATACATATGACAAATAGAACTGTTCCTGATATTACTGCAACTGCAACTGCGACTGCGACTGCGACTAAAGTACCAGTCGCAGTCGCAACTACAGAGACTGCCATACACTTATGACAGAAACAACTGCCAGTGCTGATATAGAGATACACAGAACTCCCACTCTCATACATACAAACTGCTGAAATCACTTTCAACCTATAGTGAGGGCCCCGACCACTAACAACCGGCCGAACAGTCACATACATAGAGCGATCGCACCCCTACCGAGCAAACTCCCAACTTCGCCCTAAAGGCTGTTATGCAGCCAGTAACCCGTTGGTCGCAGCCGCAAGGTATATATGCTAAGCCTACGCCAAAATTCGTGAAAACCACTTAATATAAGCTCCCACAACTCGCGACGCTGCTTTAAATAAAATGATTTCAGCCTACGAACTAGGCCAAGGCCTTATTACTTTTTAATCTCAGTATTTTAGTAACATTACGAAATGTATCTGAAAAATAAGTATAGGGTAAGCCTAGCTAATTAATAGCGCTTTGGCCAGCAAGATATATCTACCCGTTGGCTCGAGCCGGGGGGGGGCCAACTAAGCAAGCTTAGTTGGCCATAAAAAGGCAGGATAGTCATAAAACGGTAGGATACCCGTTAGGCCTGATTTTTGGTGTATTTTGCAGCATTTTTAATATATCTTTATTCTAAAGGCGTTAACAGAGGTAAAATTACTAAATCAATTAAAATAAAGCTTCCTGTAATAATATATCTGCTATTAACTGTAACTATAAGAGGGAAATAGCTGCAGCAGCGGCAAGCTTGCCTGCCGATTAATAATGCCTTCTCTAGTAAATTAGGTGCTTTCCTGTCCTTCCTAAGGCCTATAACTGGCTCTTATAGCAGATCTTTCTTCTTTAATAAGGGAAATAAGGGCATCGCGAAATTAGGCTTAGTGTTAAGCCGGGTATGGTATTAAGGGCACCGTTAGAAGGGGGGACTCGTAGTCAGGCAGGTAAGGCGGCAATAAGGGCATTACGACTTCCTCTTCTTCTAATAAATCAATAAGGCTATCTTCTTTATTAAAATCAGCATTAGCTAGCGGTTATGTAAATTGAAAATCAACAGAGTTATTACTGTTAAGAAGGCCGGTTAAATCTGCTGCTAAGAGAGGCTTTACTGCAAAGCCAGCATTGCAAATAGCCTTATAAGCTTCTGGGGCAAGCTAGGTATTAATTATAAAGTAATCTTCCTTCTTCTTTAGTTATAAGGATATCTCTGCTTATAATATATTAAGAGAAGTATATTTTATATCTCTTTTAGTGTATTTAAGCTACTATTTAAAGCATATCTTCTTTTTAATACTATTAATAATAACCTCCTTCTTTTACTGCTACTTAGCTTTTATCTCTTTTATCTGCCAAATTGTAAAAGATTATATATTCTAAAGCTAAGATCTCTGCTTAGCCTTTGCTCCTACTTTAATAAATTCAGCCTATTATTTATAAAGCTCTTCTAAGCTTATATTATAAAAATAATCTCCTACTGGTTTTCCTTGCTTTCTATGCTTTCTCTAATAATATCTCTTTTTAATATACTCCTGATAATTAGTAACATGCTTTTTTATAATATCTTTAAGTATAATAGCTTTGCTAATAATCTTCTATATAGCTTTAAGTCCCTGGCGCGTTAAGGAGCTTAGAATATTATAATAGCGGTTACTGATATCCCTTGCTGTATTAGAGGCTAAAGGGAAGTGATTTTCTGCCGATAAAAGCGAAGATAGTGCCGGATTAATAGCCTTATAAGTCTTTAACTTCTTCTTTAGCAGATAACTAACTGCTGGCACCTCGGTTGGCAGGAAAATGCCTGACTTTTCGAAGCCGGCGATGATGTAGGCAGCTGTAAAGCCTTCTTTAAAGATCTCCTAATATTATAAGAATTAGTATATAAAAAGAGGGATCTTTTAGAGAAGATATAAGCTGCTAATATATACCTTAAAGGAGCCTATAAAGTCACGGCGATTAAACATTAGATTTCCCTTCTGCAAAGCTTCTTACAGCCTTTTTTAGTATATATTCTTTAATTACTAAAAAACGCCTAGGTTTATCAGTTAAAGTATATATATTAAATAAGGAAGAAGGAAAGCAACAAGGATATTAAATTTTATATAATATTCTCTAAAGGCAAAGGAGCCATAACTGGAGAAGCCGTCGATTATAAGTAACTACTATATAAGCTTTTCTTCCTCCTTTCCTTCTGTGCCCAGAGGCGTATTATATAGAGTAATAGGGTTAAATTTACTTTTTAAGTGCTTATTACACCTAAACTACTACTTAAAATCCAGCTAATAATATTATATAGTAGCAGATTTCTCCTAAGACCACCGGTTAAAGTGCTTTACCTACTTAAGCATTATCTCAGCGTTAGAAAAAGCTGTTTCTGACTATATAAAGCATATATTAGGATTACCATTAATATCTAACTACTTAATCGTTAGAAAAGCTTTAAAGATAAGCCAAGGAGAAGTAGTTACTCCTGCAGCATTACCTATACTAATTACTATATAAGTCTCCTTATCTTTCGGCGAGAATACCTCTATTAGAGTCTTCTTCTTGGTATATATAATAAGGTATTACATATACTCTTATAGTATTCTAACTCTAATTCCGGCTTAATTAGCATTCTAATACTCTAAGGCGCTAATCCTATATCTGGTAATAACTTCAGAAAGTCATTTAAACCACTGCTTTATCTCCTCTATGCCGGCTTCTTTATACTTATAGTAAGCAGCTTCTTTTAACTTTAAAATTAATATATTAAGCTCAGGATAATTATTATAGAAGCAACTATACTACATCTTTAAGACCGGCTATGCAGTAGCATTACAGCGGCTTCTTATTATATTTACTATATCTTTAATCTCGCCTTTAGAGGCCAGAAGACCAGACTTTTATATCTAAATAATAAAGCATATAATAGCTTCTTCTTTGCTATCCGAAAGAAGTCGCGGCCGGCCCTTATTTGGCTTAGGAACCAGGCTAAAATCTGCTATTTTAGCTTCTTTAAGCTTCTTAATAATATGCGTAATAGATAACTTATAGGAGCCCTTATACTGCTGCTTAGTATTACGTATTAAAAGAGGCTTCCTTATTATATTAGAAGTATTACGAGAAAGGCCTTTTTGGAGTTATTAGTATAAAGAAACTACCACTTAAGCTGCTCTGATATTTGCATTTAAAGGCATAATGCACTTAGATAAGAGTACTCCTTTTTTGGCTAACTGGCATCTAGATTTAGGTCGATTTTATATATAAAATCGAGGAAATTTGCGATAGCCGGCAGAGTAGGGTTGTCTCACCGTTTTGTGACTGTCCCGCCTTTTTGTGGCCAACTAAGCTTGCTTAGTTGGCCCCCCCCCGGCTCGAGCCAACGGGTACCGAATTATAGCCTTAGCTAAGCAAGAGTAGATTCATACTGGCCTGATTTATTTGCGTTTTTTCAACATGTCCTTCTCCTCTTTTTTTCCCATTATAAAAAAATTAATATCCAATACTTCCATATACCATGGCCCAAGCAGTGGTCGATGAGGAGGACTATCCTTCCTGGATCAATGATGACGTCTTCCGGAAGGCTCGCTTTCAAGGAGATCCTCGATACAACCGTAGCGTTATCCAGCGACTAGACACAACGTTATCTCTCCTAGACGGCCACAGACCCAAGAAATGAGGCTTCGTTATTATACGCACCGCTTATGGCCCTGGATCGGACCAGAAATTCGAGCATGCTCTTGAAATTATAAACAATATCGCCCAGCACTGGGTTGAAGGCGAAGTCGAAGGTGTCAAGTTCCTGATTACCCGTGGCAAAGAAACGGACTTCCGATATAGGGATGTCCCTGTCGAGGTTGACACGCGCCCAAACGAGGAATTTGTACGCCGCTATGAGAATGACGTTGTGGAGGATCAGAGTCTGGAAAACGCCTCTTTGGCTGCGGTGCGCGAATATTTCAAGACCTGGATTGCATCCAAGGGGGGCAGGTCGAACGTTGGGAATACAAGATATGTTGCGTGCATCATGCTCGATGCCGAGACCCTCTCTCAGCTTGCTACTGCGCCTAAGGGCTTTCCTCACGGATGTGATGTTTACAGCTCCTCATACTGGGTTAAGATGGTCGACGTGGAGCCAAATCCTGACGAGGCGGTTTATGTACGTGTGCGTGGAGCTGACGATTTGATAAAATATTGGTTTATCCGGAACCTGATCCGAAGCCATGTGTTGACACACAGGAAAGATCGCGAATATCCAGGAGTTCTTCACTTTGGCGACCCGCCGTCAGAAGGATTTGAGGCATTGGGGGGACCACCTCTTTCCTTGTTTTAGAGGTCTTTCATGTATTTCGATTTTCCGCAGCCGATGTATGTGTAAAGCAGATATGTTGCCCATTCTAAGTCTCGTGACATAATCGTGTAGCCACTTGTGGTGACTCTTCTGTGGACTCTAATACGCACCGTGGCAAAAAAAGACACAACATCGAACCAAACATTCCTTCTCTAACCTCACTGACCTGTCTCAGCAGGCCAGACATAACCGTCCGTAATGTAAATCGTTGTAGAAACTGAAGTTCTTTGGGGATAAGGAACCTTCCAGTCATGGTTCGGTCCTACACAGTACGCGTTGCCAGCCACGAGTTTCGCTGAACATGCCGCCGCGTCGGTGCCCAGTCCGGTATTGACCATGAACAACAGATCGATATCGATACTTGACACCGCACAAATATGAGCGCACGAGTCTTCCTTGCCTGCAACATACCACCGGCCACAACGTTCCGTTGTACCCTGGGGTACTTTCGCATCCTTAGGAGGAGCAATCTTGTTGTAGGTGTATGGGTTGAATGGTTGAGGCGTGGTGGTATCGGTGCTGTTGGACGAGGTATTGTTCTGTTCGAATTCGGGGCCAAAGCATATGATGTTCCCATATACGGCAGTAAATTCCTGCAGGTTGATACAATTGTAACCGACCCACGGGTTATAGAGCTGTATATCCCCCTCAAGCAGTTTGTTGGTCGCATTAGACTCAAGTAGATGGCAATCCTCCTCAGTTCGCAGCTGATGAACACGGTCGCACTTTGCAGGCATGCAGAGCTTGGTACCGGGCTCAATCATTGCATCTGCGCTGCAGTTGGGCAGGCGGTATTGATTCACAATGAAGAGAGAAGCGATTGATACGCCGCGCTTGAGTCCAATCGAGTCACAAGTTTCGCCAGTGCTAGTCGTGTACCACTCATCCGTGCCACAGTCAAGAGAATTGTCTTCTAGCTCAGGCATCAATGAGTTTGGTACTGTTGTGTTGCCTTTAAGGCCGCATTTAGTATAAATATACTGAAGTTGTCTCTCGTAGTAGTCGTCGTAGATGGAATAAGGAGAAGCTTGCATCATCGCAAGCCGTTCAACGTAGCATGTCGAGCACATCTCTCCTCGCGGCATTTTCGTGTAGTCAGAGACTCTTGTAAACTTGCTGATGACATCTGTGAAATACCTTGTTAGTGACAGGCAAAACGTAGATATATCAGGGATGTCATACCATTGCAGTATTGTCCAGAACTATCCTTCAGGCATGTTTCGTTGTAGCCTGCCCACATATAACCAGCCCAGAGCATGGGAACAGCGCCGCCAAGTGTGTATCCCCGACAGGCCAGCTCCACGTTATTGAACCAGCTACGCAAACTCTCTCCACAGCCTGCATCACATATCAAGTCGGTCTTACTTCTGCTTTCGAGGAACCTCGATACTTTGGTCGGGTGAAATCCGACACGTCCCAGTCACACAAAACACGTTGTGTAAGGGCTGTCTGGCAGTTTTCCGGGACATCAAACTCGATAACATCATCGGGCTGGTGGATGAGGAAACCTGGAAACGCCCTTTTCCCTGCTACCTCCTTCGAACCTTGTAGCCATGCAAGAATAGACGACAGAAAGCCATTGACGTTATCACGAGCATATGTAGGAGTGCTATTTCGAGGAGACACCATTTCAATAATGGCTTTCGTGCATAGGTTATAGACCCAGAGATCATAGCTCTCCTCGACCTCGAATCCTTTCGTCTGGCAGTTTTGTCTTTTGACACAGTCCTGTTTGTAGTTATAGAACCAGCTATACAGGCCAGTTCCTAGGATGTAGACGGCAGTGGAATCGAGAACGCGGACGGCCAATGACATGCGGCAGCGGTCGTCCTTGCATGCCTTGAAAGTAGGATCGTTGGCGAAGAGACCAACGCTTGCTTCAAAGGGCTTAGGTGCTTGGGGAGTTGGCTGATAATAAGGCGTCTCAGTCTGTATCATGCCCATGAGAATGTTACTGGCGTTGGAAAGCTGATACTGATAAAAGACACAGTGCTCTGAAGCTGTACACCAAAGTTACGCTAGATCGCTTTTGATCAAGATACCTCGGGCGACATAGACATCGACCTGATCTCTGTTTTTTCTATCAAGGTCATGATCAGCAACCCAGTTCCACGCGTTCTCTAGATACGCGCTTAAGCCAGGTGTAAGGTGGAACAGTGTCGATGCTGCTTTGCACTTGGGATTGACGGAGCCAGATAGCTTGGGACAGTTGGTATACTGCAAGTCAGAGCCTGCAGCACCGCCAACGCGGATGTGAGAGTCTGGGGAAGAAGGATGGGGTTAACGTCGGATACAGGGAAACCGGCCACCCCCAGAAACCAGCCACCCGCTTTTTAACCCAGCCTCCTAATTAATAATATCTAAAGTAATTTATAACTTTACTAATTTTAATTATAAAGACTTATAAACTATACTAATTAATTTAGAATAATAAAATTTATTAAAAATATAAGTATTACTCTTTGGATAATTATAAAAGGAGTTTCTATAAATGAAGCTATAGTAGCTTATAGTATTAACTATTTAATACTCTAAGATAGAATGAAAGGTGTTGTAATACTAAGATAAGCTTATAAACCTTAATAAAAGCTCTTAACTATTTAGGAAAAAGGATTATAAGATTAAATTATAATTTAAGCTAATCTAAGATATCTTATATTATATTAATAAGTCTAATACTTTATAAGCTAGATTATAATATATAATAACTTCCTAAAAGGCATTAGAAAATACTAATTTCTTTTTTTTTTTAAGTTTATAAGTTAGCCTTAAAATATATATTTAAATATCTTTAAAGTCTAATATAATTTAAATATTAATTACCCCTTAAGAGGTAAAGCTTTATTTAATTAATATTATTATAATTAGCTGCCTTAATTATAACCTAAACCTAGCTATATATAAGCTAGCTAAAAAGCCTTACTTTTTAGCTAGCTGTTATGATCCCAGTGGTTACGTTATGTATACCCTATAATTTTCTCTACTTAACCTACTAATTAGGAAAGGACCGACACTTACAGGACTAATAGCATTCCAGGACCGCGTTGCTCCAGGACTAACGGCGACCTTATACCGCATCGCTCCCATAGAACCACATCTAAGTATATAGACCACATTTATTTATACTTTTATAGATTCTAGCTTACCAGCTATTAATAAAACTTCTTTATATTAATTAAGCTTAATACGCATTAAATCTACTATTAAGAGACATAATACTCTAATAAGCTTAGTATTACGCCCTATATAATCTGCTAATAATAAACCTAACACGGCTTAGTTTAACATAGTTAGACTCTAACCGTTATATATTAATAGCTCTTATTTAGACCATACCACGTAATACTAAGCAATACGAATATAATAGCTGCCCACGTTAACCCTACACAGTAACACGCTGCACCTTATACTGCTCTAGCACCTATTAATAATAATTAGGATATAGATAATAATTCTAAGAGTAGTATTAACTCTAATATTACCTAGCTCTATTAGCAGATAACTAATATAATAACTAAAATAGATAACCTTAGATAAGCCTTAGCTAAAGCTGCTGCACTCTAGGTATAGCAGGCTGCTAACCACTAAAATGCAATTTAGGAAATATATTAACTTGCTGCCACTATAGTAAATAGGAAAGAATCAGGGGAAATTCTTAAACCTAATATACCTAAACTATTTAATAGAAACCTTGCTAAACTGGCTACCTTCCTTACTTAATGCTAAGCCTATATAAGCTACTTTCTAAACTAGTTTACTAATAATAATAATAGAGTTATATATATATTAGGATATCTTAAAGGTAATACTGCTTAATAGTTCTAACCTATATTAGAAGTAATTATTATTATACTAAAAGATAAACTACTACCTAGAACTTTTTAAATTTATAATAATTATATTAAATTTAAAAAAGCTATATAATAAGTATTTAGGTTAATTAATAAAAAAAGCTAAGTAGAAAGAAAGATTAAAGTACTTTAATAAACTAAATCTGCATTAGAGTATAAAATTAAATTTCTTTAATTAGCTACTAAGCTAGGATAGGACTAGGAACCCCTTATATTACTCTTTTTTAATAGACTTAAAGAAACAGTTTAAGTAGAACTCTATAAGGAAGCTAGATTAAGGATACTGGTTAATTATATTAGTAGAGCCGTTGAGGTCGATGATATATAATTCTAATAGAGAATCTGCTATAACTGAAATAACTAAGGATGCTAAGGAAATAAGCTATGCTATAATGCCAACCAGGGAAAGAAATAAAATAATAATACTTCTTATAGCACTAACTCTAGACTAATAACTATTAGAATAACTAAGAAAGATAAATCTAAAATCACTTACTAGAACTATAGTAAGAAAGGATATTATAATTTAGAATATAAGAACCCTATTAAGACTAACCAGAAGTATAGACTAGTCTTAGAAAATAAAAAAATTAATATAGTTAAAAAGCATAAGGAACCCTAAATAGTAATTAGAACTATTAATATAACCTGTAAAGATGGCTATAATATAACTAAACCTATAAGATATATTAGAAACTTTAATCTATCCCTTAATATTTAAGATTTATTCCTTAGTAAGGAAGAAACCCTTAAGAAATACTACCTATATCTAGACCTAGAATAATGACCTATCTTAGGATATGCAGCTCTTATAGCAGATATTTATAAGTAAAGTAAAAGCAAAAAACAGGTAAAGAAAAGAGTATATAATATAAAAAGATAAGAAAACCTTAAGTTTAAAAGAAAAAAAAGTAAATAATAAAAATAATAAAGACTAAAAGTAAAATAAGATGTAGAAGTTAAACTTAAATAGGTACTAGTACCTAAACTAGAAATATAATACCCTATTAAAGGAAAATCTGTATTTATGGTTAAAAAGGGAAAAGAAGTTAACCCTAACCTAGATAATGAACTAAGTACTATAAAAAATAATTAAAGAACCTACTTAATAGTAGATAAAATCCCTATTAGAGTTACCCTAAAATAACTAAATTAATATATTAATAACCTAAACTACCTAGAATCTTACTAAGTCCAGAGAGAATTTAATGCCAGATATATTAAATATAAGGAAAATAAAATAGTCTAGAACATAGAAATTATACTATAATATAATAAATACGGAGCCTGTTTCTAGAATAATAAATACCAGAAGTATATAGAACTTGCAAAAGAATATATAATTATAAAATAAGATGATAATATTTATATTTAAGTATATATAAAAGAAATACTAGAGGATCCTATAACACTAGAAGAATGCATTTAAATTGAAAAAGATCTAAGGAGATACCTAAATTATCTGAACTATAAGCAGATATTATAGATATTATGCATATAACACTACTGCCTATAGCATTAGCAAGATAAGGTAGTAAATAATTACTTCCTAGTATAAATTAATAAGCATTAAGAATAAAAACTATATATAATTATTAATATAGTTAGATATTAAGTTATAAAGAAATATAAAGGATTATAAGTAGTAAAACTAGAGGCTTATACTAAAACATAAGAATAAGCTTTAGTATATATCTAGAACTCTAGATATATTATATAGTAAAGGCAAAAGATATAATAAGAAGTTAAGATTACTAAAGATAAAGCACTTAACTAGGAATTTGACTAAATTAATTAAAATATTATATAATAGGAAGAGGAAATATCTTGAGATAAATAAGATACTATCTAATAGCTAGATAAATAATAATTATAAGAACGCTTAGAAGAATTAGAATAAGAAAAAGGAAGATCCCTTACTAAAAAAGAAAAAGCAGACCTTATCCTAGATTATAAAGTAGGAAAAATAGAAGCTATATACTAATAATAACTTGCCACCTAATATAAATATCCTAATAATATTAATTGCACTAAAAGTAAATATAGTATAGACTACCTATAGGGAAAAGGTATATGCTATCTATAATAAAGTGGCAGATAGGCGAAAGAGCAGAGGAAAATAAACTCCTAGAAAAAGCTCTAAGAATGACTATAAAAGGAAGTTAATAAACCTGCCTAGAATTAAAAGTTAGAATTAAGGATAAGTAGCTAAATGCACTTATAGATAGTAAAGCTGATATGAATTTTATTTCCCCTGAAATGGTTAATAAGCTAAGGCTATTATAAAAAAATAAAAAAGAACCCTATATTATAAAGGATAAAGAAGGAGGCACTTATAGTTATAATAATAAAAGAATTACCAGAGAGATTAATTACCTTAAGGTATTTATTAATAGAAAAAACTAAGGTATTAACTTTAATATTATCCTGGTATAGAAATATAACTTAGTACTTAGATTTCTATAGTTATAATACTATAATATATAAATTAACTAGAGAACTAGCCAGGTAAACTGCAAAGATTACCCTTTAGATAAAGAAAATAATTCAGATAATAATAATATAAGATCTTAAATTTCGACTAATAAGAGCAGTAAAGATAGGCATAATAGAGTATTACCTATTCTAAAAGGAATATAATATAAATACTACTAAGGCAGAATAAAATGCATTAGATAAATAATAATAACTCTTAAAGGATAATTTAGATAATTAGACTAAGATATTAAATAGATAAAATAGGTTGCTGCAAAGGAATCTAATAAATAACTTAAGAATATATCACTAAAGTATTATATCTATAAGAAATTATTTTAAGAGGAACTAGACACTAAGTTACCTTAATATATAGATTATAATATTAAAATTATATTAAAAGATAAAAAGAACCTGAAATTCTTCCCTATTTATAACCTATCTTAAGATAAGCTTAATATACTTAGAGAATAATTAAATAATATACTATAAAAAGGATATATTAGACTATTTAAATCCTTAGCAGGATATCTAGTTATATTTATATTAAAACTTAACTTAAATAAGCTAAGACTTATAGTAAATTACTAATAATTTAATAAGATTATAGAAAAAGAT